AACAACAACAACAACAACAACATGCTGTTCCTTGTTTCATGGCTGAAGCTGGTTCAATGTGTTCACTTCGGGGGGAGGCGCTGCGCCCTCCCCCCGAGACCCCCTCCAGCGTTTTTTTTAAGGCTGCACCGGGGGCGCACCACCACCACCACCACCACCAGCACCACGACCACCACCACCAGCACCACCAGCACCACCACCACCAACAACACCAACAACGACAACAACAACAACAACAACGACAACAACAACCACAACAACAACAACAAGAAGAAGAAGAAGAAGAAGAACAACAAAAACAAAAACAACAACAACAACAACAACGACGACGACGACGACGACAACGACAACGACAACGACAACGACAACGACAACCACAACCACAAACACAACCACAACCACAACCACAACAACAACAACAACAACAACAACAACAACAACAACAACAACAACAACAACAACAACAACCACAACCACAACGACCACGACGACGACGACGACAACAACAAGAACAACAAGAACAACAAGAACAACAAGAACAACAACAACAACAACAACAACAACAACAACAACAACAACAACCACAACCACAACCACAACCACAATGACAACAACGACAACGACAACGAAAACGACAACAACCAACATTCAGCTCGCGATCCCAGTGGGCCCTGCCGGACCTCAACTGCAAGCTCGCGATCGTAGATTGGTGGAACCCAAAACACCCAGGCGGGAACCCAAAACACCGTGGGAACCAGACACACCTTTGTCGGAACCACAAACACCCTCCCGGGAACTGAAAACACCATTCCGGGAAAAAAAACACCACGGGAACCAGAAACACCATTCCGGGAACTGGATACACCCAACCCCCCAGGCAAGAAGTCAATCCCACTTTTCCCAGCAATTTTCCAAAGTCAATCCCACTTTTCCCAGCGATCCCACTATTCCCCAAGTCAATCCCACTTTTCCCAGCAATTTTCCAGAAGTCAATCCCACTTTTCCCAGCAATTTTCCAAAGTCAATCCCACTTTTCCCAGCGATCCCACTATTCCACAAGTCAATCCCACTTTTCCCAGCAATTTTCCAGAAGTCAATCCCACTTTTCCCAGCAATTTTCCAAAGTCAATCCCACTTTTCCCAACAATCCCACTAATCCCAGCAATTTTCCCAAGTCAATCCCACTTTTCCCAGCAATTTTCCAGAAGTCAATCCCACTTTTCCCAGCAATTTTCCCAAGTCAATCCCACTTTTTTCCCAGCATTTTCCCGTTCCCGTATAATCCCACTTTTCCCAGCATTTTCCCATATAATCCCACTTTTCCCAGCAATTTTCCAAAATCAATCCCTCTATTCCCAGCAATTTTCCCAAGTCAATCCCACTTTTTCCAGCATGTTCCCGTGTAATCCCCTTTTTCCCAGCAATCCCACTATTCCCAGCAATTTTCCCAAGTCAATCCCTCTATTCCCAGCAATTTTCCCAAGTCAATCCCACTTTTTTCAGCATTTTCCCGTGTAATCGCACTTTTCCCAGCAATCCCACTATTTTCAGGTCAATCCCACTTTTCCCAACAATTTTCCCAAGTCAATCCCACTATTCCCAGCATTTTCCTTATTTTTCCCATGTCCCGGAGATCGCCGTGACAGCCCAGGTGGCCCTGCCGTGCGCTCTGTCTCGCCCGATCGCAAGAGGTCCATCACGGTGCTGGAGCCCAAGGTCTTCTGGATCCTGAAGTAAAGAGCAAAGCATGATCTGATTTTATTCATCACGGTGCTGGAGCCCAAGGTCTTCTGGATCCTGAAGTAAAGAGCAAAGCATGATCTGATTTTATTTGATCTTTTAGATGTATTTTTTAAGATGGATAATGATGGATTATAGATGGTTGATATAATTACTGGGACCTCAGGAATAGCATGCAGTTCCACGTTGGATTTCGGGTGTGTGTATATATATATATGTGTGTGTGTTCAAAATTCCTCTATCATTCCATTCTACTGGTTGGTTTATCGGGATGCCCCGTTCTTGGTTATTGTTAAGCAACAAATCGCAGTGCTTAATGATGATTCATGGATAAATCATAGTATATCAAACTGGTTAATGAATTAATAAATATAGATATATAAATGTGTTAGCTATGAAAACAAATGCAGCGAGAACGAGCTTGGAGAATGAGGCAGGAATATCCCATCCACCATGATGCACCAGTTACATTCTCCGCGGCTCTTATGGGCGTGTTTAATGGATGAAGGTGAGTAAGTCGTGATGAATCAAAACGGACCGACCCGGACAGACCTGCATTTCGGATGACTAGAGCATAAATGAGCATATCACATCGAAATGTCCAAAAAAACAACATCAAACATCCGTCGGATGCCTCAAACATCCTCAAGACCCCACAGACGTTGATGGCTTTCTGACGGCTCCAGGCTTCCAGGACGGCTCCCCCTCCATACCGACCTCGCCTGGATTGCATGGAGAGTCTCTCCAGCAGCTGTTCCGCTTCCTGGAACTCATCAAACATCAGAACACCACGGGTAGCCTTTTAGGAATTCATCGCTATGGATGATTTAGCTGTGAAAAATAGGAGCTTTGAGGCTACCACAATGACCCAATGTGATATGACCCACACAATTGCTGAAATGTCATGAATTTGAGGTGCCCGAGCTGTAATGACCACCGTATCCACAGAGACTAGCTGCCAAATCGCTTTGTCCAAAGATATACAGTAAAGAAATCATGACCTTTTGTAGTTTAACATAGCTATAGATTATGGCCCATTTATAAATGAATTACATCGAATTACCTATTAAACACATAAAAACATGTAATTTTCCATGGCAAATGTTGAACTACCAGTCGGTATATCATTTATCCCAATATATTCAGTTTTATTCCGATTCTATCTCCATGATATCCCAAAATCCCTTCTTGTTGTTGGTTTAATGTTCAGACTCCCGGCTGCTTACAACGGCCCGGGCCCCTCCCTGAGTTGCCAGACCAGCTCCCCATTTTTTTTGTGGTCCAACTCGATCCAAACTCCATGCAGCGCATCGTCATTCAGCTGCTCCTACGATCAGTGGAAAGCCCAGTTTGGATGAATTCATGATGAGTTAGCAAAAGAGGGGGGAATGTTTTTAGCACTGTTGATGAATGAATTTGATTTGATCTGATCTGATCTGATCTGATTTGATTTGATTTGATTGATGGATTGATGATCACGAAGCTGCTGATGAAGATGAAGAATTTGAGTAAAACATGGTGGAATGCAAGCATATTTGTCCATCCTCCTAGTATGAAACAACCCCATAATTAAATGGTACCAAGTATGTGCAATTCCACTACAGTATTGGACCATGGTTTCTGGGGGTGCTTAGTATTAGGGAGCAGGAATTATAACTAATATGTGTGTGTATATATATATATGAATTACAACCCACTACTGAGATACTGTAAACTATATGTAAACATAAACCATGCTGGGTCGGTCAAGTGATTCCCATGGTTGCCAAGCCGATTTGAATGGTGACATTCTGTCCGCCATCCTACACATGGAACTCCCCATATTTTCCCCAAAAAAACAGTAACAGTTTAACAGCGTAGCCACCAAACATTCCAAAGAGCCATGTTTTATGCGGCGCCCAGTGTAGATTTCAGGCAGCTACCCGCAACCACAACCAGGTTATCAGCAGCATTTTTGGACTGTTCGCAGCTCCGGTTTCTGGTTCCACCAGGTGCATTCGGCCATGTTTCTGCCTGGATCTTCCCTGCAGAAACCTAGGTGAAGGGTGCGTTACCGGGACCTCAAACCAACAAGGGGGGTTCTTAAAATTGGGGATCCTCAAGTCACCGTGGATTTCAAATTTTGGATGATTTAGGGTACCCCCATGGCTTAGGAAACCTCCATCTAAAAAAAATACAAAATCTTTCAATGTGTTCTTGGTGCCACCACACTGACTCTACCATTCAAAATGGGGATTCCTTGTAAATAACCCGTTAACATCCGAAACTATATGCTTTGTTATACACCATCTGGTCAACCAACTGTGATTGGGTGACATTTTGAATCATCCCATTGCTAGGGGCTTGTGGATAATATTGGGTTTACCACATTATTTTGTTTCTGCAATTGTAGATATCTCCTGGCCACTAAGTATGTTGTTGTATTCTAGGTACAACTATTTTTTGGTTTAACTAGGTTAAGTTATAAAGGGTAATTACTGTAATTTCCTATAATTACCTAATATCAAGTACCTATTAAGTACCTCAATATTGTATTGGTAGGTATTGTATTATATAATGTATACCGTATACCAGTCATGGCCAATCATAGATCATTAATCACTATTATAACCATTATTCATCACTTGTTCATAATCACCATGACAATCACCAGTTATAACTCATAAATGTCCATTAATTAATGGTTTGTATCCCATAAATCAACTAATAATTGGTAGTGATGAAAATTTATGGTGATTTATGGTTCAAAAAGGGGTTTTCATTAGTGGTTATATCCCGTGTCCATTAATATACCAGTAGCTTTATCTTCCATCCCATGGACCTTGGGTTCCACTTGGCGCAGCCGCTTGCCGCCGCTTGCCGCCGCCGCTCACTTCTTCTTGGCCTCCGCAATGTCCGCGTCCGCCTGCGTCACCGCGGTGTAGATTGCGAAGATCCTGGGCCAAAAGGGGAAAATGAGGATTGAACCATCAAGAACGGGGGGATTTAACATGATTCAACCATCAAAAAAAACATATTGTCAACAATTGGGATTGATTTAACACAGAACCATGGTGATTTTACTATCAACAATAGGGATTTAACCATAAACACTTGGGATGTCACCCATGTGGTATGGTCAAGACCCTGGTATCCTTTTGTTCAAACTAAAGTGGCTAGATGTTCATCTCCCAAAATATGGTTCCACGAGTATTGGTCCATCCCTATATGGTTAAAAAAAACGCGCGTACATGTATGTGTAAGATTAACAGGTTGCTGGTTTCAACCCCCTTGAAAAAAATTGAAAATGGGACAACCATTCAAGATCATCCCAAATATGGTTAAACAGACAACACAACTTGAAACCCCCCAACCGGATATGTTTATTGGTTTAACATAGCAGTCACCTGATCCAATGCAGAGCTGCCAGCTTGGTGCCAAGCGGCAAAGTCGAAGCCAACAGGGAGATGATCACCACCTCCGAAAAATCACCATTGTTTGGTGAAAAAAGGGGATGAAACAAGGGAAAACCGTAGGTTTTTTGGGAGGAATTCCAATGTTGCCAAAATCAAGGAGTGCGGAGGATCGTAGGGAATGATCCAATATGGCCACTGATTCATGAAGCCCTCCTGTAAACTAACAGAAATGTGGAAAACCCACCATGAATGTAGATCATTTTCATAGGGAAACCATAGAGGTTTCCAGTTTCCACATCTATGTTACATAGTTTACCCTGGGGTATACCAGTAGTACCGCGCAAAGCGGCGGCAGAAGTTTCAAAAATAGGAAGCCTATAGGAGAGGTTGCTTGTTGTGAATCACGGATGGCAGAGCGAATCCACTGATGAACCGACAGGTGGTTGGAGTTGTGTTTTTTGGAGTGGTTGCAACGGTTGCAGAGGTCACCTCACCACAACTGCTGGATGTAGTGTGGTGTAGTGCAGTTGTAGTTGTTGTAGTTGTAGATTGTAGTTGTAGTGTAGTGGAGTTGTAGTTGTAATGTAACTAGTGTCATTAGTGTAGTGTAGTTGCAGTTACAGTTGCAGTTGTGGTTGTGGCGTGGTGTAGTTAGTGTACTGTAGTGTACTGTAGTGTTGCGTACTGTAGTGTGGTATAGTGTAGTGTAGTTGTAGTTGTCGTGTAGGGTAATTGTGTAGCGTCGTGTCGTGTGGTGTAGTGTAGTGTATATAATGTAGTGCGTATAATGTAGTGTATACAATTTAATGGTAGTTGTAGTTGCAGTTGTAGTTGTAGCTGCAGTTGTAATGTAATGTAATGTAAATGTAAAGGTAAACGTAAAGGTAAATGTAAATGTAAATGTAATGTAATGTCACTAGTGTAGCGTAGTGTTGTGTAATGTAGTGTAGCGTAGCGTTGTGCAATGTAGTGTAGATGTAGTTGCATTTGCATTTGTATTTGTAGTTGTAGCGTGCTGCAATGTAATTAGTGTAGTGTAATGTAGTGTAGTTGTAATTGTAGTTGTAGTTGTAGCTGTGGCAGTAGTAGCAGCAGCAGCAGCAGTAGTAGTAGCAGTAGTAGTAGTAGTAGCAGTAGCAGTAGTAGTAGGAGTAGTAGTAGGAGTAGTAGTAGTGGTGGTGGTAGTAGTAGTAGTTGTTGTTGTTGTTGTTGCTGTTGTTGTTGTTGTTGTAGTTGTAGCTGTAGCTGTGGCTGAAGCTGTGGTGTAATTAGAATGGTGTAGCGTAATTAGTTGTAATTAGTGTAGTGTAGTGTAATTAGTGTAGTATAGCGTAGTGAGATGTCATTAGTGTAGTGTAGTGTAATTAGTGTAGTGTAATGTAGCGTGGTATATTTGCATTTGCATTTGTAGTTGTAGTAGTAGTGTAGTGGTAGTTGTAGTTGTAGTTGTAGTCGTCTATCTATCTATCTGTCTATCTGCAAGCTTGAAAACGAAGCTGTTCTGCGAGTCTTCCTCAGTTTTGGAACTTGACAACAACAATTCTGCGAGACTTCTCCTCAATTTTTGAAGTTGGCAACATCAAAAACGAAGTAAATCTGCGAGACTTCCTTTAATAATATTGAAAGTTGAGTGCAGAGCTGACGGCCTGGTACCAATGCGTTTTGCGATTTTTCCAGTCCATGTCTCTGAAGTATTGCACCTGCCACGAAAAAGTGATGTCAGGTCATACAAAGTGCTGCACCTGTCACGCAAAATCATCTTCCCAAAACTGAAGATCTGATGCTCCAAAATGCAACCCCTCTCAGGAAATCAGCGCCTGGACCTCCTAACATCTCTGATGAACATGTCTCTTGTACTGCGCCTGCTACGGAAAATGCATCTTTGCAGATCCTCTTCAAATGTCCCACACCTGCCATCGTTTTTGGACATGCTAGAAAACCCTCACATTTTTCTCACTTTTGACAAGGTGCCCAATCCCTTGCGCCTGCCACGCGAAACGACATCTGAACGTCCAAAAGTGATCCAAAAATGTGGTGCTTTGTACATTCTGACTTGGAAATGTGCTTCGCGCCACAACGGAGTGCACTTTTTCGACATCTCAACTTCCAAAAGTGCTCCGACCCTGGTGTGCTTTGTACATTTTGACTTTGAATGTGCTTCGCGCCACAACGGCGTGCACTTTTTCGACATCTCAACTTCCAAAAGTGCTCCCAGAATGGTGTGTTTTGTACATTTTGACTTCCAAATGTGCTTCGCGCCACAACGGCGTGCACTTTTTCGACATCTCAACTTCCAAAAGTGCTCCCGGAATGGTGTGTTTTGTGCATTTTGACTTCGAAATGTGCTTCGCGCCACAACGGCGTGCAATTTTTTATCTCTCATCTGGCCACATGGCTCCGCACCCGCCACTTTGGGCTCGTTTCGCGACTTTGCTACCTTTTCGCGCACCTGCATCTTCTTTCTTCTCACTCTTTCTCCTCTGTGACCTTCTCTCTTCTGCTCTTCTCTTCTCTGACTCTTCCCACCTCTGCTTTTCCATCTGTCCATATTGTCGGAAGTTTGACTTCAAAACTTCCTTCGATCACAAGAAAGATCTTTCTCCCGTCAATACCACACTCTTGAAACCATGCATAAACTCGGCCGATGAGTTCCAAGGTCCTCCACGAGACATGCAAAGACCACTGTTAGTTCACCAAAGTTCACCAGCTGTCCCAAGAAAGGTGGAAAAGCGCATGATTCATAGAAATAGTGCGGAAACACTTTTCACTTCATGTTTCTGTCTGGGAACCCGTACATGAGTGTGTCCAAAAATTGGGTGCCCTAAAAATGTTTCTTTTACAGTAACTATACATGATTTTAGCTTTAACAACATACCATGGTTTCTCACCATTATTGACAATAAGTAGAGTTTTAAAATCAAATCATCTTTCATCATTTTCACCAGGATTTCATGGCTTAATTTTGGCACAAAAATCGTCTGGCATTGTCTTGCCATGTCTATCCAAATGATAGCAGATTGTACCAATCCACATGATTCTTGGTTAGCCCCATTTGTCCATTCTGAAGTTCTGAATCCCTACTTTTCTTAGTGGACCCCATGAAATCTCACATGAATCATATGTTGCCTGTGAATTCCCTACTTTCATGGCTATCCTCCAATCATAGCAATGAAAAGTCCGCCCATTTAGTTCGATTATTTTCCTAACTAGAAACCTCCATTTGCTTCAGGGATTTTCCAGCGGCCCGGAGAGGCACCTGCGGCCGATGCCTCTGCGGAGCGAAGAAGATCACCAGGGCCGACAGCATGACCAAGGCGCCTCGGCTGAACGACTGTAACCAACAAGAAGGTAATGATTTGGATATCATGGAGATATAAAAAAACGGAATATTCAACTGGATATCATGGGATAAATATGGATAGATGATATACCCACTCTAGTAGTTTCGCAGTTTGCTATGGAAACTCTCAATGTTTCTGATAGATTAATCATAAATCATCCATAAATGGACCATGTTCAATGGCGATATTAAATAACCGGAAGCAAAATGTAGCGGATTGGAGCTGATTATAGCTGATTATAGCCCGTGGCCTATAGCCGATGATTGCTGATGATAGTTCTGCAAGTAGCTGGATATATGTATGTATTTATATATACAGTAAATAATGTGTTGATATAGCTGTAAACGTGGAGTTCAGAAAAAATACTTTACTGTACTTCGTGTGATCCCCACCATGACATTTATCGATTTATTACTGGAAAATCTTCTGGCATCCTATCTGACATATATATCTTCTGGCATTCGATCTGGCATTCTATCTGGCATATCTTCTGGCATTCTACCTGGCATATCTTCTGGCATATGTTCTGGCATATCTTCTGGCATTCTATCTGGCATTCTATCTGGCATATCTTCTGGCATATCTTCTGACATCCTATCTGGCATTCTATCTGGCAAATCTTCTGGCATTCTATCTGGCAAACATTCTTCTGGCATTCTATCTGGCAAACATTCTGGCACTTTATCTGGCATACCTTCTGGCATTCTATCTGACATTCTATCTGGCATACCTTCTGGCATTCTATCTGGCATATTTTCTGGCATATGTTCTGGCATATCTTCTGGCATTCTATCTGGCATTCTATCTGGCATATCTTCTGGCATATCTTCTGATATCCTATCTGGCATTCTATCTGGCAAATCTTCTGGCATTCTATCTGGCAAACATTCTGGCACTTTATCTGGCATATCTTCTGGCATTCTATCTGACATTTTATCTGGCATTCTATCTGGCACACGTTCTGGCATTCTATCTGGCATATCTTCTAACATTCTATCTGGCATATCTTCTGGCATTCTATCTGGCATTTTTATCTGGCATTTTATCTGGCATATCTTCTCGCATTCTATCTGACATTCTATCTGGCATATCTTCTAGCATTCTATCTGGCTTTTGAGGTCCAGCGGTGCGCACTGAGCTCGGAAGGCCCCAGGTTGAGGTCCAGCGGTGCGCACTGAGTTCGGAAGGTCCCAGGTTGAGGTCCAGCGGTGCGCACTGAGTTCGGAAGGTCCCAGGTTGAGGTCCAGCTGTGCGCACTGAGCTGGGAAGGTCCCGGGTTGAGGTCCAGCTGTGCGCACTGAGCTGGGAAGGCCCCAGGTTGAGGTCCAGCGGTGCATGCGCACTGAGTTCGGAAGGTCCCGGGTTGAGGTCCAGCTGTGCGCACTGAGCTGGGAAGGTCCCAGGTTGAGGTCCAGCTGTGCGCACTGAGCTGGGAAGGTCCCAGGTTGAGGTCCAGCAGTGCGCACTGAGATGGGAAGGTCCCAGGTTGAGGTCCAGCAGTGCGCACTGAGCTCGGAAGTTGGCGAAGAGCTTGGCGAAGAGTTGGCAAGGCGGAAGTGGAGGTGGAAGTTGATGCAGACATGGTCGAGGAGAAACTGGAGGAGGAGGCGGAGGAGGAGAAGGAGGAGGACAACAGCTCTGATAAAATCTAACAACCCTCACCTGGCAGGTGGGGAAATAGATTATTTACAATAATTTACTAGGAATAAATGTTGGACATAAGTGCTCAGAGATTTTGGTGCGTATTTACCCAACAAAATGAAGCCAGGTATGACGGAAAGTGTCCATTTCAGCTGTCTGAACCCTACGGCAACCCGATAGGTTTAGGTAAAGTCCAATAAAAGTCCAACTCAAACTTGGTGAACAACTACTTGTCTATCTCATTTCTGGGCGTTGCTGTTGTTTAGAAAGTTTAGAATCATCATCCCGCATATCCGTGAAGCTCTGGTTGAAGTGTAATGACTTGGCCATACTTGGCTTCCGCAAGATGAGCCTGCTATCGTCCTAGGCCTTATCAACACACCATCCACAACTCGATATGGGTGTCTTGAACATTATCCAACCATAGTAGTAGCGAAGAATAGTGACACTCTGCTACTCCAATGAGGTACCCATTAGGCAGCCCAGGGGTTTATCAATCTGGGGTTGACATTGCAGGATTTGACTGGCAGACTTTCATATGGAAGGCAGTGGTTCACCACCACTTGTGCACAAGCCGCAGCCGTCGCCAGCCGAAGCTGTCATTTTTGTTGTAGGCCCCCCCAAGTTTACCTCACCAACTGAGGTTCATATGAGTTTCCATGTTCAAAACGAACTGTTGGGCTTTGTCCGAAAATCGTGTAGCCGCTATAGCCCAAATCCAGTGGTTGGTCATCAGTTTCCCCATGAACATCATAGCCATTTAAGGGAGCCTTTGCAAAAACCCCATTTCCAGAGCCCATTTCTGGTGAGAGAATCCAAGCAGAATCACCTGCTTCTTGCTGGGGATCATGGGCTCCAACAACTCCTGGAAACTTAGACATCTGGAAGCCACCGCATCCTGATCATTGGAGTTGGGCATCCCTTTTATTGAAAATGGTTGAAACCACCAACCAACTAAGGTCACAACCAACTAAGGTCACAACATTGGTGCTTGTCCAACTAAGAAACCACCAACCACATCCCTTTTAGATCTTTTTAGGTCATGTGTGTATCACCAACTAAGAAACAAATTTCGGTAACATATGGCTTTGGCCGCTGCTACAATCATTCTAAATTATTCACACACAGAGAGCATTTTCTGAAGAAGAATTTTCAAGGTTACACATGTTGCGGTGTTACTGTTAAACCATATATGTAATGCTTGATGTGATCATTCAGAGTTGTAAGAATGTCGGAGGGACTGTTCCCTACAATGCCACTGATTGAAACATCGTTCATGTTCGTTGCAAGAATCTGACGTTTGTCTGAAAATAGGGTACCATTGTTTTAAAGTATCATTTAATGGTTTATACATGTTTATAACTGTTTATAAATCTTAAATCCTTCCACACTACATGGGCGCACATTTGGGGATACATCCCAGCTATAAACCTCCATTTAGCTCTGGGATTTGTCCATCGGCCCGCCACGTTTGATGACATCAGAGGCTAAATCCACCATTTTTAGACAAAGCTATAGTAGATGGATTGTGATATTCTCCATTATACTGGATAGTATAATCCCCAAAAATCATCATCAACCAACCATCATTTACCAGTTTTATCACTAACTTATACATATCCACGTAGTTTCATGGTGAAAATACCCAATGACTTGACTGTAATCATCAACCAACCCGGTTTTCTTAGCTAAACCGTTTCTTCCACCGTGAACTCCTCTGAGGCTGACCGTGACCGACGACCAGTCCCCTCCTGCAGAAAGGTTGGTGGCTCTTCCGGCGGCGGCTTCTCGACATATTCCCGACCTTCACCCGCCTCTGGGGTTGGCAACATCAACTGGGAAGAAACGCAAAATCACTTAAAAATCACCGAAAAATAACCTAAAATCATCTATATAAATTCCTCTACTATCTGTGTGTGTGTGTTGAATATCAGCTGTAAATTGAGGTGGATGATCTTGGATGATCCACCTTGAAACTCAAAGAGTCAGTAAAAATATATCAGGAGTCATGTATCTGGGATAAATATCGTGGGTAATGCGTCACTTGTGCCTCACTATATCTACAGTACTTAGATATGCATCCCGGTAGCAACTGGTCGATGACCATCCAGCTGCAACTACTTAGAATCTACTGACTGGGATGCATATCCTGTTTCTCACAGTGTTTTTCCTCTGTGCCTTGTCTACTCACAAAATTTGAAGGCTGCCACACATATATATCTATGTGTATATATATATATATGTATTTATATTATTTATGTATGTATGTATATGTATATGTATATGTATATGTATATGTATATGTATATGTGTATGTATGCATGCATGCATGCATGCATGTATGTATGTATGTTTGTATACTTGTATACTTGTATACTTGTATACTATATAAAAGCTCACTTTATTTCAATGGTGTTGTTTCATGCAAAGCCTATGCAACCCCAAGAGAACAGAGGGTTGATGTAGCTCCCTTGACTCAGATGTGCATCGGCCGTGAAAAATATGCATATTGGATTGGATACGCCTATACTGGGGATTAACATTGAACCACCAATATTTGGGATACTGGTACGACCAATCCTTGGGCGTTCCCAAAAAAAACATGAGTTAAACCGTTAAACCCAGAATTCAGAACTGCGTAACTTTGCCCCGGGGGCCCCGGACCCGCAAAGGGATGGATTGCGGTTTATGTTTCTGCCAAGGAACAGCTTCCAGAAGTGCAGCTCCCAATTTCTTGCTTTTGGAGGCATGCTTTGTCCTGTCAAAGGACCATCCGTCACCATCCACCATCCGTCACGAGCCCGGTGGAAAGGACCCATTGAATACCCGAGTTGAACCATGGATATGAGATGCAGAGACAAGCAGAAACTGAATATGGTGCTTATTTAAAACTACAAATGACAATGGGATAAATAGCACATACACATATCTCTGTATCCGTTAAGAAAGTGTAAACCAGAACATCAACCTGTGCCCCATAGAGTCTTTGTAGAATGAAGAGGTGCTTGCCTACATTTTTTTTCAAATCAAGCACTATTCCCGGAGCCCTGTACTATCCATTGCACTGGAATAAATTGAGGAAAATAGTTGAATAATAGCAGTAGCAAGTCTCTGAATTAACACTGGACCAACATCCTCCAAAATCAGTCGGTCGCAGTCTTTGATTTCCAAGCCATACCCATGTCGCGTCGTGTAGGTGGATACTTGACATGGACCGACTTTCCATAGCCATATGTACAGAAATATCCTATAATATATTTATATATGTAATATATTCGTAGAATCACATTAATTCATATGAGTTTTCAGATAACCATTTGCCTTAGATATCTTAGATGCACATATCACAAGGTCACTAGGTCTATCATCCCCAGTTTGAAAATTCAACCTCTCCTGGCACGCTCCAAATCTGCCACCAATCGCTTCACTGCTGCGTCCTCCTGCGCCATATCTGGAAGACCATATGGCCATATGGTGTTGAATATGAAACAATATCATATAACTTATATAGATTTATATAGTATCATATAATCTATGTTACAACTATCTATGAAGCAACTCAACACGATTCAAAAATCACACCACCGTAAACCCCAAATAGTTGGGGTTTACACATGATGGCGCCTCATTGGTGTATCCCCAGCTGGATTACCCAGCCAACCAAACATCATCCACGGTTGGTTTTCAGGAAAAAAACACCAAGTTGAAGCGTAATCCTCTCAATGGTTGGTCAAAAAAATATCAGTTATACTCGACATATCATAAATTGAATGGCAGTTATAACTCACATGTTATATGACTATTTTCTGCCAGGGACGGTCCATGTTAAAACATGATGACAACCAGCACACAGCCATGACCAGCATACAGCCAGGACCATCACAATCATCAGTGTCAACAGCAGAATTTTTAAACCAGCTGATTTTTTTAAACCCTGAATATATCTGACTATTCATTATTTGTTTAAAAATCATGTCAGGTATTATAAAGTGGGGAAATTCCTGGGTTTACACGACTCCCCATTCTTCCATTCTTGGATAAATCCCGATTTGTCTCAGACAGCGAGTCGTATCCAATATCAATCACCATCGGCTGGGGATTCATCACAATTCTTTACTTCGTAAATTATCTGGTTATTATATGGTTATTATATGGTTGACAATGGTTGATATATGGTTATTATATGGTTAATGATGGTTAACCATGGTTGATATATGGTTATTATATGGTTAATGATGGTTAATAATAATCTGGTTGGTGGTTGAGCCAACCCCTCTGACAAATATAAAAGTCAGTTGGGATGATGACAATGGAAAAATAAAACATGTTCCAAACCACCAACCAGTTATAACAAATCACTAACCTCAAATGCTTTTGGGATCATTCTCCCAATCCGACCACCATCATTCCAGGGTTCGGTCGCCAGGGTTCGGTCGCAGATCATTTCTTCCAGACATTACATAGGTGATTTCCCCAATAAAAGCTCCAGTTCTAGTTGGTTTCCCTATGGTTGGTGATCATTTACCATGCTTACATTTGATAAATGACATGGGATATACATTCTATTAATTCATAAAATCATGTACCATGTATCATGTACTCTGTTTATTAGTTATAATTCCATTCAAAAATACGGGGTACCCCCAAATCATCCATTTATAGATGGATTTTCCCGTGTAAACCATCTAGCTATTGGGGTACCCCCATTTACAGAAACCACCATGTCGAAAAACCATGACATTTTTCGGCTCCCCCAGCTGTCCTCAGGTTGAAGACCCTGCAACTCGTTGATCCGCGCCTGGCACTCCTCGAAATCCCCCAGCAAAAAGGAGGCCTCCGCTGTCAGACGAAATCCATATATATAATATATATAATAAGTGGTTAATAATCCATATATATATATATATAATAATCTTGGGATACTAATTATCTATTGTAGTATATTCCATTATCTTATGGATAATATAGTATCCCAATATGGAATATACTAATGGATAATATTGGGATACTAATGCGATAATCACGGGATACTATAATCCATATACAATAAGTGGTTTATAATCCATATATAGCCCATGTTTCATCTCATATGGTGACTTCTTAAGTCTTTCCTCAAGTCACCATAGGTTTCAATACTAAAATGGTCATCCATGACTTGGATGATTTGAGGGTACCCCCATTTTTTTGGAAACCATCATATATCAGTGGGGATATTCCATTATGTATATATATATATACATATTTATATATTCATAATATATATATATACATGTATAACTAGGGATTTTTTTGACCCTTGAATAAGTATACATGGGGCCCTTGACTGAAGCAACTCTGATGATTTGGATCTTCATTTTGTTGCGGGGCTTTCCTGGAATGGGAGTACCCCAAAAATGGATGGTTTTTGTTTAGAGAAAAATCCATCTATAAATGGATGATTTTGGGGTATCCCTATTTCAGGAAACCTCCAGTTGGGTATGAGTCAAAGTTAAAGATTTTCGGGGACCACAGATGTTAAAGTCCATGTTTAGTATCATCCGATCATTGAGGGCAGTCAGGTATGATGATTGGAGAAACCATTGGAGTCCGGAGAAACCAACGCATTTTTTGGTCAACATTGGCCGCAAATCCACCTTTTGGTGGTCAATTTGGGAGGCACAAGAAATGTGTGAGGTGTACTTCTAGTGATTTTTGTTTGCATCGGAGCCCACATTGAAGACTTTCAAAACACCGTTGCCACGGAAGGAACCACAGATTCCTCCTCTTTTTCATCGGGGATGCATTTTTTGGAAAATCCAAACAAACGAGAAACATTCAAATTGAGAGGGGCTTGGTATGTCCATGCCCTAATTTGAGTCAATTCAAACCGCTGAACATGTCGTTCTTATGGCTTGTCTTAACCTGACCTTTGTTGCATGCCACATTCTTGATGTTGAAATATCCATTGTTTTGCTCCTTTCCAATTACCCTCTCGTAGTGACTAACAGTTTGCTATTGAACATGGCCCATTGATAGTTGATTTACCTATCAAACATGAGATTTTCCATAGTTATCTTAGTTTACCAGAGGGTATTTTTTTGCTGACAGTGATATGCATGTTGCAATGCTCAAATACCCTCTGGTAAACTAACATAGCTATGGAAAATCACCATTTTCAATGGGTAAATCCACTATTAATGGCCATTTTCAATAGCTACGTTAAACTACCAGAGGGTATCCAGTAGCATCCCATTTCGTTTGCATCTCATCACCAACTGAACGGCGCCTTCGCCAAGCGAAAAATGGCCTGGTTTTTGGTTGCGGCTTCACCAGCAGTGGGAGAAATCTCATCTATAAAACGCCACCAAAAAGGTTTCAAATAAGTGTAATATCTGTTTTCGTGGGGGTGTTTAATGTTAGGGGAACGGGTTAAGATATTTTTGATTGATTTCAATATACCAAAAGAATCCAAAATACGGGTTGGAGAGAACAACAGCATGGGGATATCAATAGACCCAAATCATCAGCATAACATGATTGAGATTGTTCATCCAAACAAAATCCACTAGAGGGAAGTCATCCCCCTTCATTCCCCATTTCTGTCGGTTCCTATCATTTCTGCCCGTTAAACACCATGTATCATGAATGTGCGGTTAAACTTCTTACTACTTGTTGCAGTGTAGTGCAAACCACTGAGTACCCCCATTTCATCCCATAGTTAAAACCAATATCTAATCACATTATCTAATTACCACATGTACCATTGAAATTACATATGTTGGATGATATACCCATTAAGCCAATCAAGTAGTCCATTCTTAATACAAGTATTCCTAACGAGTGTTCGTTGAAACATGTATAGTTTCGTTCCTTAAACCAAACCCACCAATATTTCTGAAATATCCTATAAATGATAGCAACCTCGAGAGAGAGAGAGAGAAAGAAACACCATCCTTCTGAAATAGTGGCAAATCAATTTGCAGTCTTTATTTATTGGGGTTACTTATTACAATATCTTGGTTGACAAGACTTGGACAACTATGGATTTATCCTGGAAACGCACACTTTTCGGCATCTTTTTTGGAGGGGCTTGCTATAACCAAAGATATCTGAAGGGATAGACCTCGGCATAGGTCAACTTGGGTTCCGCAATGATTGGATGGTTTAAACATGTCATGCGGGTAAACAATGCCAAGAAAACATCCCCCAGTCATCAGCATTTTTATAGGTGCTATGTGTGGTATAAAATAATCCATTCCCAAATGGGCTTAAATGGGTGGTTTATCATTGTTTTAACCACATTAATTCATTAATTACTCACAATCATAAACCACCCATAAAACCTCTGGTTGAAACATGTTGAAACCACAATCGACACCCACATTTATGTCGGGTGAACCCACAATCGGCGCCTTGGCGTGTTTGGGTACCAGATCCACCGCGATCTTCGCGTGGTCTGAGGCATCGCGCGCACGGCCTATCGGATGGCGCCCGGGTCATCCCGGAGAGATCCCGGGACTTTGGGATGCCTGGGATGCTTGTCATGGGGCTGGGTAAACTATAATATAATTTACCCAAATGGGCATGTGGGTATATATATATATATTTATATATATTTATATATTATATATATATGGGCAAATTATAATAATTCACTAACCTGAAATGTTGGGCCATTTTGGGATGATTCCTCTTACTAACCGTTTGATTCCAGTGAGGGAGAACAGTGAGGTCGCTATAATTTACCCAAATGGGGGATCTCACCAAGCCAAATGCTAAATTTCAAATCAATAAATGGTTGGTGGTTTGAACCTACCCCTATGAAAAATATGAGTTCGTCAGTTGGGATGATGACATTCCCAATATATGGGAAAATAACAAATGTTCCAAACCACCAACCAGATAAATAGTAAATAGTACTGTTTTAAATAGGGATGTTCCAGAAATTCCTTTTGTTGGATTGACACAAAGAATGTTGGCTGATTTAAACGCGATGATTTTGGCAAAGTGCTGCATGGGGTTAACCCCCCAGTGAAATGTTTGTTGGTGGCTCTGTTCAGCCCATGAAGATTATAGTTACATCATGTTATATCCCCCATCAACATCTATAACCCCAAAGGTTAAACATGTGATGTTCACCTTAGAAATTTCGGAACTGGGGGGTGATGTCAGGACCCACCTTGGATGCAAAAACGATTGAATTTTGGTGTAAACTTTCGAAGGGGGATCTAACCACCCCTAGTTCTGTACCAAAAAAAGACATTTGAGCAGAAATGCGAGTGTCACTGTGTACATGTAATATAATATATATATATACGTACATATATATATATATTGTATATGATGTATATATATATATTATATTATGTATATACATATGTGTAATATACACATGCATTATTTCTATTATATAACCAACACATAATAACCAAAGATGGTTCCCACTTTTAAACGCGCTAATCACAGACCAAGGACGTCGAAGGACACAGACTGCTTAGTACTATGATGTACTATGATGGCCCCGCAGCCCACCATAATCATAGGGGTCAAAACAAATCAAAACAAGGAGAAGTAAGCAACGAATGTAAGCTTTAATGGTTGGGGATTAGAATGAGAATTGTGGGATCCCATGCCTGAGTTTAGGTGGAAGTCATTGAAAACCAAAATTAGTTTCCCCAAGTGTTGTTGTAATTTACCAATTGCTGCTGAATCTTCGAGTAGCCGTAACAATTGCCCAAAAGCTGTTCAAGGACAAAATGCCTCTTTACGGATTGAAAATACCTAAGCTCCGCCTTGCATCTAATTTACCAACTGTATATCAAATGTGAACGATGATGTTCTGTACCCCCCCATCAAAACATGCGCAAACCATCTCAAATCTGCTGCATGCCAGTATATCTGTTTTATTTTTTTTGGCACTCACAGCGGCTACAATCACCCCAAAATGTCCCATCGCCATCTTGATCCACCTTGATCCAAGTTGATCCGATCTCAACCCAAGGGCCTTGTTCCAAGTAGACAGCAGAGAGGTTTGACGCAACGTCAGCGATGGTCTTGGTCACTGCAGCTGCCTTGGGTGCCAGCGCCAAGGCCCATGATGTTGTTCCTTTTTTTTGTTCCCATCATACTTAGGTGGTGTTAAATCATTGTTTTTGTCGTGTTGTTTTTATAAATGTGATGTGTGTATAGTAAATTAATATATTTAATACATTTTAATACTTCTCTTTCAAAAAATATCAACACGATTCCATCAAACATGCCATGATATCGGCAGGATTGAATCTATCCCATACCCCATTTCAATCCGTGGCTGCCAAACAATGAGGCCACTTGACCAAGATGTTTTATTGTGCCAATCGCATCAAGCCTTCCATGTCTGAAGATGTTTGAGGGTCCTTCATTTTGAGCCATTCAAGTACCCATCTTTGAATTCTTTTGAGGAGTCATCCCCAGTCCTGACTATGCCCCGCAATGACCCTTCAGCCAGGTGGCTGCAGCCTTTCCACTCAATCCCACCGAGGTAGGTGCTTGGACCGGGGTCTCAGGGAAGACCTGAATCCCAGGTCGCACTGGGTGGTACAAGGTTTCCCCTTCCTATGGCTGCATTACCCACAAAATTTGCAAATTCATAGAAATTGCGTCAAATTCCAACATCATTTTTGCTGGTCAAGCCAAATTGTTCTTTTGCGGTTGAAATCCTGCAGTTTCTTTTTCATATAATCTGCATTTGGGCTGGCAAAATGTTCAATCACGTTAAAAAAACAACAGGTTATGTAAATTCGCCTAACGTCAAGGCTGCTATATATACATATGACAGTATAGACTCTGTTGACAAAATATCGAGGGATTGTCCCCACTAATCATAAAATCTGTGAAGCATTGAATCATTGAGTTGCCCCCACTGTTCATAAACCAGGAGTTTAATCATCCTGGGCTTCCAAAAAAGAACTTGACGAAGAATCAAAAAAGTTGCAAAGCTCCCGGTTTTGGTTGAAGGTTTCATCAATTAAATCACATTTCAATCTACTGTACGGTAAATCACCAATTTTCTTGCTGTAAACCATGGATTTTCGTGGCGGCACCTCCATGCCCTTCTCGTAACAGCGCGCGGCCAGTTGCATGTTGCGGCGCCGGTAGTGATCGTTGCCGTTGGTCCTCCGCCACTCCAGCTCCTTGGAACCCTTGGAAGGGAGCTTAAACTGGGCACAGCTTTTTTTGGTGTTTAGAGAACTTTGGCATTTTCTATTCTGCATTTTTATCATATCACTATTATATAGCGTTTATTATGCATTATATAGTGATATAATAGTGATATATATATATATATATATATTTTTATTTATATATACATATATATATGTGGTGTTTATTATGTATGTCTGTATGTATGTATGTCTGTCTGTCTGTCTGTCGGTCGGTCTGTCTGTCTGTCTGTCTGTCTGTATGTATGTATGTCTGTGTGTCTGTCTGTCTGTCTGTCGGTCTGTCGGTCGGTCGGTTCGGTCGGTCGGTCGGTCGGTCGGTCTGTCTGTCTGTCTGTCTCTGTATGCATATACTGTATCACTATTATATCACTATACATCTATACGTCTATACGTATTTATGTATAATTGAGGAATATTGGTAGATATAGGACACATCAGAAGAAAGCTAAGAATTCCAGAGGTAGGGCGCTGGAATACTCAGGTGATAGACTACCATGCCCCAGTCATGGACACAGTCACGACGTTGGCATTGGCTGATTTGGAAAAATCAAACGAGAATAAAACAACTGCCTTGAACTATGTATGTATGGAAAATCACCATTTTTAATGGGAATATCCACTATAAATGGCCATTTTCAATAGCTATGTTAGTTTACCAGAGGGTAGATGTAGATATATCTAGACTCCAGACTGTTTAAATCCTTCTGATTCCTGGATGATTCAAGTCCCGTTGAACCAACCAGAATGGTATTCATACCAGGACTGTTCACTTGCAGTCGTTCATCTACTTTGAAATAATATCCGTCCGTCATCATCATTCATCACTCATCAATTACATGTTCAATCTTGGATACCTTGAAAACAACACATATTAGTCTGTAGCTGGTGAGTATATATGTATATATACATATATATATGTATATATATATACATAATATATATATGTATATATATATACATAATATATATATATACATATATATATATATCATGCATGTTAATGGAATTTATGTATAATTTGAACATATTTGAACCATATTTTCTGTACTTTTTTTCCGCGCCTGAACACGATGAGCCCAGTTCTTCTGGCTGTCATCCTCTGGGCTTGCTGGATACATGTCAATCAGCTTCACATTCAGATACACCTGGGCCACAACGACTGGTTAAGTGGGTTTTGCAATGTGGATATATGGTGGATATATATATATATTTATATGTATATATATATATAAATATAATGTGTATATATATATATATAGTGAATATGTGGTGAATACATGGTGGTTATACAATGTTTCTATCTGTTTCTATAATGCAAAACTGGATGTGAGTCAACGACCGGGACATCTGTGGTGCGGAAGGAATGAAATATCTGAAAGCGTCAAACTGTTTTGTTGCTGATAGATCTACTATTCTTTGTAAAAATATTGATAATTCTTGAAATTTAAAAACAATGACCAGTGGAAGGTGCAGAAAAGGTGTCCTGATAGCCAACAAATGCATGGAGCTGCAGTGTACTTGTTTGCGGGGTTAACCATCATGGACAGCAACAAAGTCAAACATCAACAAATGAGCAAAATCCCATACAACGAATAGTTCATAAGGATTCCTAGTGCTTAGCCAAATCCCCACAATGTAGGCCGCCCTTGAAAAGTAAGTGGGTTCATCAGTAGGTTAACCGTCGATTCTGCTAGATAGATCTATAGTCGATGGTTCTTATAAACAGTCCTTTTTATCAACTTGTGATATATATATATATTAATATATTAATATATACATATATATATATATATCATACCCCCTTCCTGGACTGTCCACCACTAGCATCACCGGGGGGTTGACCATGTTCGACTGTTTGACCTATAGCCGTCCAGTCACATCTGTATCTTCTGGCACATCTTTTTCCTGGGCTTCAGCTGCCTTGCATCCCGCAGGGCCTTGGCAGGTTTGACATTCTGCACATTCCCAACTTGTCAAGAGTTTGTTTTGTTTAAAAAAACAGGTTTGACATTTATGTAAATGTGCATATAATACATCATATACATATGATACACATATTCCATAAATATATGTTAATAATATATTAATATGTATAATTATTCTATATCATAAATATAAATCTCCGTGAGTACATGTGATTCCTGGGAATAATGTACTGACCTATTGTAATTATCAGACCACAAGTGGATGGTGTGAGAATCCCTTCCAAGTCCCCGAACAGCCGAACAGGACATCTCGGCATTAAACTTGCTGAACAATGGCATTGTGTGAAATTATGGATCTAGTTGGTTTTTGTTTGAAAATAGCTACTTCACCTCAGAATCTGATGTTTGATTACGATTTTTTGCCCATTAACGTTCCAATTTTGGAGAGTGAAATTGCCATTTTGAGGTACAGTCTCCACGATCAAAATTGCATCTCTGGGGCTTAGTAAAAATGCTGCCATTTTGGGTATCCCCAATTTTCCGGGCAAGCTATTTGCAGCCAGACTAGTGCGGTTTCAAGCCAAAGGACCCCATGCAAAGCGACTGATGCAGAAAACGTCTGCCTCTTCCTGACTTTTGACCCCCACAACTCCCGGGTCAAAATAGGGATTAGCTCCAATTTATGACCATTTCATAAGAAACATCGGGGTTTAACCATATTACGTAAGCAGAATGAGATTGACTCCGGAAATTTGATGCAATCCCTTTGTTGTGGGGGGCGAAATAATGGTTGAGGAATGCAACAAACATGGACTGGTCAACTTGCCGCTTGCCAATGCCTTTTATGGCATTTCATGCATATATCAGTCCAATGAACAAGCCTGGAGCTTCTGAATCTCAGCAGCTGTACAGATTTTGATCATCGCCATTCTTACAGGCGTGATGTGTGCACCGCTGTCTCATCAGTTTCATTCTTCTGTTTCTTCGTACACTCGCAACTCGACCGTTTATTGATAACAAAGTGCTAATCAGCGCAAATCTGTCTGACTCAATAATTAACTATAGATACTATAGTTTGATTGAAGAAAAATTACATGAAACTCATGAACCCACTCAAATTCCTTTTTTTGGTGCCTTCCTAAAGCCTGGTTCACTGAGTCGTCATCCCCCGTCTGATCAGTGGTTAACACAGCCCCATTACATCCACATGTTGGATAGTTAAATCCACGGATAATATCTCTATGATATCCATATGTTGAATAATGGTAATTCCACATGATATTTGAATCACATGATATCCCCACTTTGGATGGTCAAGTCGACATTATATCCACATTACATCCCCACTCTGGCGGGTTATATCCACATTACATCTCCGTTAGAACCCCAATGTTGGATTGTAAATCCATATGAATGATATTCACATGATATCCCCATATTGCAGTTAAAGCCCTTTACATCCTTTAGCAGTAGTCAGTTATAAGCCCATTTATGGAATGATACCCCCATATCTAACATGTTGTAACCAGTTTAAAACACCATACCCTCTGGTAAACTAACATAACTATGGAAAATCACCATGTTTAATGGGAAAACTCACTATAAATGGCCATGTTCAATAGCTATGTTAAATTACCAGAGGGTACAACATCAGTGAAATCCCCGAGAACATCCCAGCCATCGTCTCCTCCAAGGCACACCGAGAAACATGTGTCGAAGGGCCAGTTCCAGGCCCGGAATGGCTTCCGACTCTCCTGCGGACTCCCGTGGAATCTGGGCGATTTTTCGATGGGCGGATCCAAGTGGTCAGATTTGAAAAAGCGAAAACGTGGTCCACAAAAAGATAGATTTGAGATGATTTGAATAGAATCCAATAGATCAAAATTGTGAAATAGAATGAAATAGAGGTAAATCGAAACTTTTCGATCTTTGGGTTGCTATCACAAGGCTTTTCGGTTCCCCATTTTGGAGGATCCTTATTATGTGTTCGCCAAGCCCTCCAAGGCACCGCTGCATACTGTAGCACTGCGCTCCTATACGATAGCGAATGTTCTTCCGCCTCTGGAGAATCTCTCCATCCAAGGACAAACGGACCTCACAAGTCGTAGTTTCAGTGAGGACCCTCCCACCAGCTCTCACCTATCTTGTTTGCAAATTTGTTCTATCCTTTGAGATCACTATACATACATAATTAATTATATTTATAATTATAAATATATATATATATACATTTTGGGGGCACACAATGGTTCAACATGGTTCAACAAATTGGTTTTCAATGGTTTTCATCCGTTCCAGGCTTCACTGTCATCCCAGCACCCGGCCAAGGCACATCAAAGCTGCAGAGCACATCACGTTGCAGGTCCACTGCATCGCCTTTCCCGACTTTCACCGTTCTCTTTCCTTAGGGCTCCACATTGCTCCACAACCGCAGCAAGGGTCGTTGTGAAAATAACGGGAGGACATGAGAGGTGTCAGCAGTGTCAGCCATGGAAAATTAGTCATGAAAGAACTGAAATGATATGAAATGAATTCAAGTGATCATGAATGGCATATGGCATAAAGCTGAGAAGTTTTTTTTTTGAGTTCCCCATGGTTCCCCTGGTTGTTCCCCTCCCAGGATCGTTCACCTGTCGTTCAACCGTCATTTTCTGCAAAGTCTCGGACTTTCCCGTCCATCATGTCCTGGAGAGCCATAGACATATCATACACATATCATAAATATATATATATATATACAAAGATCACATAAAAATAATAAACAATAATAATATATAATAATGATGAAAGAAACTGTCTCAAAATCGAATCAATGGCTGTCCTTGAAACATCCCGCAAAGACGTTTATTGTATTCAAAAATTTATTGTAGCATCTGTCATCCAGGCATAAAATGCCTTTGGCATCATCGTTGCAGCAGCCAGTTAAAGCATGTCCCATCAGCATAGTCGTCGATAGATTTGCTTTCGTCAGGGACAATTGCTCCAAAAGAAACCGCACATTCAAAGCATATAGAAGGTGGAAATAAGATGAAATAAGTACAGCAAATTAACTAAATCAAGGCTGCAAACAGGCTTGCAAGCTACTTGGTTTCCAAGACAAAATCTAAATTGATCAAGGCGGAAACTGGAGCTTCCAAAACCATATGACCCACCTCTTATAGCCGAAATGCTCAGCTCATCGAAATCTGACCAGTGGTTATCCTCATCCCCATCACCATCAAGTCTGGCAAAATCCCTTTAGTTCTCTGACTATATCAATTCCCATCTTTCACATGGAGGGTTCCTGAAATGGGGAATCTGCAGCTGAACCAGAGACTGTCCAGCCCGTGCCTGTCAGGTCATTTCACCACCGCTTGTCACGACCGTGACTTGGCTCAGGAAAGGGCCCTTTTTTTTCTTGCGCCAGCCATGCCGGCTGCGACCGGATCTTTGTGATCCTGCTGCTGTGGAAAACCGGTGCGCTGAGCACCTCATTTGCAATTGGGTTCTAACTATATCATTTCCATCACCTACGGCGACTTAGCTGCATTTGGTGTGGGTTTGCCCAATATAGCTCCCTGTGCTGCCGCTACATTGGCAGCGGAGCGATACGCTCTGGGACCTGGTGGTGTTGCGTGAGGAAGTCGCTGAAGGTGACTGGATCCGCAATCATTGCTTGTGTCTTGGATTGGCTGGTCTACCAGATTCTACTTGCTGGACTTCATAGACCTTTTGGCCGAGCTCTTTGGTGTCTTTTTCTTTTTGCACTTCAGGTGATACGACCTGAACCTTTACCTGGCCATTTTGGCCCACTCTGAGGTGTCAACATGTCCTCAGAGAAAGACCAGCAGAACATTCCAGCCTGGGATGGAAGTGCGAGGTCATGGAGGCGCTACACACGTGAGGTGTGTTGGTATGTCCGTGGGACGCCAGTGGAAAAGAGGCGCTACTGTGCCACGAAGTTAGTTGGGAGGTTGAAAGGTTCAGCTCGTCTCCTTGCAATGAGCTGGACGACCATGGAGTTTGATCATACACATGGTGTTCGAGATCTACTCCAACGCCTAGCTGCCAGTCCGCTTGTCAGGCAGACGTTGCCGAATGCTGCAGCGACCTGTCAGCAGTACTTTGCCTTCAAGCGGGACTTCAACGAGCCGATGAACAACTTCTTGGTTCGTGAGGCATTGGGCTATGCGGAGTTCGTGGAGGCCTTGTTGTTGCTCTACGAGGACAAGAGTGGGGTCAAACAACATGAGAAGTCATTTGACCTTCCTGATGAAGAACCACGTGATGATCAACATAATGGATGGTATGAATGGACCTATGATGATGGAGAACCTGAACCTGCCGATGGACATGCGAGATCTCCTTCGGCATCTCCAGCCGCTGCTGCTGCAGCTGCTGATGGATCTATGGGGGCGACTTCACCTTTGCGACGTGCTGGTGCAACTGGAGCTGCAAGCGTTAGGTCAGTTGGTGTGCCTAGCACTTCAGCTACACCTCTTCCTCGACCTGGCGATCTTCATGGTGGTGGAGCGATTGATGAGTTCTCCTTGGCTGATAGCTTTGTGCTGGGTGTTCTTCGAGGTTTCAGACTGCTTCAGTCTGCAGGCCTTTCTGCAGAGGAGAAAAGAGACATCCTAGCATCAACCAAGGGGAGCTTGGAGTTTTCTTCCATTACTCAGGCCTTGCAGACCTTGTGGGACGAGCAGTTCATGAGCCGTGGACATGGTTCTACTTCAATGAGGAGCTCTATGGGTGGCTACTACCAGGACATCTTCAACGCTTCTGAAGAGACCTACGACCAGAACTGGTGGAATGACGATTGGGGCGAAGCCTACTGGGCTGATGACTATTGGCCCGACTATGACTGGGATCAATGGGGCGATGTTCAACATGCTCAACCTGAAGTTCCACCTGACGATGCTGCCACTGCTGCTGATGATCCTCAACTTCAAGATTCACTTCAAGCTGAACGAGAAGCAGAAGGACTTGCACTTCAAGCTCAACGCACCTGGGCAGAAGCGCAGCGCGCATCTGCCGCCTTGCGTCGAGACCGTGGTTTTGGCCAAATTGGAGCAGCTGGTGACCGAAAGTGCTATGTTTGTGGGAGCAGTTCACACTTTGCTCGAGACTGTCCTGATCGTCTACACCCTTCCAACAAGGGCAAAGGCAAGGGAAAGTTCAACTACAACACTGAGTGGGAGAATGCGGAGCTCTACTACATGAAGGGCAAGGGGAAGTCAAAAGGAAAGTTCAAAGGGAAGTCCAACAACATGCTGGACGTTCATGCCATGTGGAAAGGCAAGGGGAAGTCAAAGACATCTCCTTCGCGCCCTGCTGTCAACGCCTACATGGTTGACAATCTGTATGGCTTGGAGCTGCGTGAGCCCTTGGAAGCTCAGTCTACGGCAGCCACCAGCATGCCGTCCAACTTAGGTTTGCTCGACTGTGGAGCCACTGCAAGCGCTGGGCCTGAAACTTCGGTGCAGAAGCTAATTAGCTCTGTCTTGGCCCAGGACCATGGAGCCCGTGTGACTATCGCGAAGTACATGCGGCCGTTTTTCAGGTTTGGGAACGGATGCTGGGGACAAGCCAACTTTAGGGTTTCTATTACATCAACGGTTTCTGGCAGTGAACGTACTTTCCATATGTATTGTTTGCCTGACCCCCAAGATGGAGACAAACGCAATTTGGTACCTGTACTTCTTGGCATGGATCACCTATCTGGTAAAGATGCACCTGAGTCAGCCCTCACCATTGACTTTCACACTGGTTTGGCGATAGAATCCATGAATCCCCAACCTCATGTTCATCAACTTCCCTCCAACAAAAAGGGTCACTATGTGCGGGACATTGTGGATTACTTGACTCAGGGTTTCAAATGTGATGAGGGTCCATGTGCTTGAGGGTACGGTCCAATCTGCTGAGCTGCAAACACTTGAGTTTCATCCTGTCGAGTTCTATGACATGACACTACATGATTCACAACATGATGATGCAGTTTTGGAAAAATCACGGCAGAACCTCTTGGCCATTCATGCACAACTTCATGTACATCAAACCTCTTCATCATCCAGAGCTGCTTCGGCTTCGATGTGTCCTAGCGACAAGCCCGAGACTTCAAATTCGAAGTTGCCTGCTTCCTCGGCGTGCAATGGCCCAGGAACCTCATGGAGTACAAGAACGGGGCAACCAGACCATCTTGGATCGCATCAAGATGGCAGCACCGAAAGTCAAGGACCAACGTCCTTTGGACCCAAGTCGTGTGATGGAGATGGACGACAGGGATCCCAGGACCGAGGCAACTCAGTGGCCATGCTTCGGCCATCACACGGCCAGCAAGCCTTGCAGCAATGCTCACGGCCAGTGGACTCAATGTGCAATATGCAACCTTCGCCTGCGCTATGTGCCGAAGGTGGGAAGCAACAGCCAAAGCACAAAAGTGGAGAACCGCTTCATGGTGCTGAGGATGTTGACCGAGCTACAGCCTCTCATGCGTGGTGCAAAGCCTACAGCGGCAATTTGCCTGGCAATGCAAAAGAAGATCGATGCGGAGGAGGCCTTGAACCATGCCATCGACAAGGAGCTCATGAACCAGAACGTGATGGGCTACGTTGTGGGCGGACGCCCCAAAGCCAAGGCCTCACCGACAAGGACCACTCCAATGGTGGAACCTGTGCCAACGACTCCAAGGTCTTCTGCAACTCAGTGGGATGTGATTCCTGCCGAATCACCTCAGCGCCTGGCCAACGACCTCTTCGAGCACCTCACCATGGAGGAGAAGGACCAGTTGGAGAAGCTCATGATCGAGCGACGTCAAGCGGCCAGTCAGGCCGCAGCTGCCTCAGTTCCGGTCTTGGAACAGGGGGATCTGAGCCAAGCCTTCGAAAACGAGATGGCATGAACTTCAACCTCAAGAATGTGGAGGTCAAGCACTTCAAGGTCGTGGCGAACGAGCACTTCAAGACGGCGGAGACCTACGTCACAAAGGAGCTCTACAACAAGGTGCAGCCTCTCTCTTCCAACGTGGCTGCCAAGGTGATGGTCTTTGCCTCAACTATGATTGCAGCGGCATCTGCAACTATGATGGACTTCACTATGGATGGTCGTGATGGATTGTGGGAAGTGGCATGCGCTCCTCACTCTTGGTTGAGTCAAGCTGCAGAACAACATGGTTTGCAGCCACGGCGCATCAACTTGCTAAGCGGCTTCGACCTCTACCAGCCCAAGACGTGGGAACAACTTGATGACCTTCGACGACGTTGTCGACCCAAAAGAATTTGGTGGAGCCTGCCTTGCACACGATGGTGCCCCTGGACTTCTTTGAGCTACAACACGCCCGAGAAGAAGGAGCTGCTTGAAGCCTACCGCCGAAGAGAACGAAAACTTCTTTGGCGTGCTCACAACTTCATCAAGAAGGCCATACAAGAAGATCCTGAGATCATTCTGTTTTGGGAATGGCCTCACCCATGCTATGGTTGGAACCAAGAGCCAATGCTGGCGATTGAGAAGCTTCTACATGCTCATGGTCACGAATGGTTGGACTGTCGCATTGATGGCTGCCGCTATCACATGCGAGATGGCAATGGCGACTTTTTGAAGAAGAAGTGGAAGGTCAAGACCAATGATGAACACTTCCACAGCCAGTTTCGTGCCAAAGTTTGTGTTGGTTCACACTGTCATGGCAGAATTGAAGGTCAAGAGACCGCAAAGTCTGCATACTACCCATGGCAAATGGTTCAAGCAATAGCCCGGTTTTGGGTCAAACAAGAAGTTTCTCATCAGCAACTACGTCGCATGGACTTTCACGACGTTGCTGAGGTGAACTTGCTCGATGGTGAACTATGCCCTGCTGGTGTGGTCATCGACCTTGATGCCGATGATGCTGAACCTCCAGAACCTGCACCGGTTGCTGCTGCTCCAAACTCTGCAGCAACTGAACCAACTGATGCTGAGCGAGAACGCCTCAAGGTGAAGCTGCTTCACTTTCACAAAGCTGCTGGACACTGTTCTGGCCGCCACCTTGCCAGAATTGTTCGTGATGCAAAGATGGAGCCCTGGAAGATTAAGATGGCAATGGACTTTCGATGCCCCACTTGCGATGGACTTCGACCAGGTGGTATCTCCAGCGGCAATGTTCCTCCAGCGGCTACGCATGCTCAGTTTGGACCTTGGGAAGCCATTGGACTTGATGTGGCTGAATGGTATATACCTCTCAGGGCAACCAAACAAAAGTTTCTTTTGGTGATTGATATGTGCACGAGACTCCGTGCTGTTTTTCCTCTTTTTGACAACTATGACATCACCAAGATGACAACTGAGAATGCTGAGCAAATCATTGAAGGCGCTTCCAAATGTTGGCTTGGTGTGTACCCAAAGCCACACATCATCGTGGCCGACAATGCCAAGTCTTTTACGTCTGTGCGCTTTGGTGAATTTTGCCGTGAAGCTGGCATCGAGCTCACCTTTCCTGCGGAGAAGGAAGCTTGGGCACATGGCCTGGTGGAACACGCCATCAAGGACCTGAAGTTCACTGCGAGCGCAATACAGACTGATTCGCCTGAACAAGATCCAAAGGTGACGCTGATTTTAGCAACATCAGCTCTCAACTCCACAGAGTACGTGTCAGGTTTTTCCAGCCACCAATGGGCTTTTGGCAGAGACTACATGATCTCCGATGAGGACAGGCGCAACTTGGCGCAGTTGGGGGATACAGCAACCTTCTCCCACATTGTCCTTGCTCGTCAACGAGCTGAAGATGTGGCTGTGAAGACACGTGCCAACCGCATTTTGGGTCGTCTTGCAAACAGCAAAGCACGACAGCCCTTGCGGAACTATGATGTTGGAGCTTTGGTGAAAATCTGGCGAAAAGTTCTTCCTCAAGAAATTCACACTGGACCACGTGGTGATTTTCAAGAAAGCATCCAGACCTGGATGGGTTGGACCTGGCCGAGTCATCTTTTCAGAACGACTTGCTCACCAAGACTTGGACGATGAACGACGTCACATCATTTGGGTTTTGATTGGTGGCAAGCTGCTGCGCTGTTCTGCGCATTCTGTTTGACCGGTCACTCCAACTGAGAAGCTTCACCACGAGCTCAACAACAAGGAGGACATCACCAAATGGAGGTCACTCACTGACATCATCCCAGCCAGGGAATTCACCGATATCTCTGACGAGATTCCATCTCCTGACCAACTTGAAGAACCAATGTTACCACCACTACCTGATGGTACCACTGTGGTTCCTGGTCAACGGGTCTATGGAAAGAAGACTGTGGCACCGGAAGATTGGAGGACGATCCATCGATCGACGCCCCTTGGACTTGACCGAGCCCCTGGATTTTTGGCTCCGAGCTCACCTCCAATGGTCAACTCTGGCCCATCTTCTTCCTCCAGGCCTACAACCACAACAGCTCCGCGACCAATAGAACTTGATGATGATGAAAATGGAGCTGTGAATGACTATGGAGATGGTGATGGTGACAATGGTTCACATGATGCACCTCCAGTACCACACCCTGATGAAACAGCACCAAAACGTCCAAAGAACACTGCCTACGACCTCAAATGGGTGGAACAACTTGAAACTGACGCTGCGCTGGAATCCAACACCATGGATGCCTTTTCAGCCTTGCAGCAGACCGATGATGAGGTCATCCAAATCTGCTTTGACCTTGAGCTGTCCACGAACCGACAGCACAAGATGCTTGAAAGGCAACCTGTGCTCTTCTTGGCGAAGAAGCTCAATGGTGCTGAAGTACAAGTTCAACGACTGAGCGATTATGACCGCTCTCTTTTCCAGCGTGCCAAGACCAAAGAGGTCACCTCCTTCCTGAAGAATGAGGCGGTGAGAAAATGTTTGAGTGATGAAGAAGTTCGACGTGCCTATGACTCCAACAGAATCATACGTGCGCGTTGGGTGTTGACTTGGAAATGCACACCTCCTGATGAGATTGAGCAAGCCAAGCATGAGGCTGCCAACGACCCTGAGACTGTGCTTTCCAAGGATGGATCTCGCAAAGCCAAAGCAAGGATTGTGTTGCTGGGTTTTCAACATCCTAGTCTTCTTGACCGCTCCTTCAAAACCTCAGCTCCTGTCCAATCCATGATTGGTCGAAACTTGATCTACCTCCTTGCAGTTCAAGAACAATGGGAGATTCATGGCCTGGATTTGGCGACTGCGTTTTTGCAGACTCAGCCTACGGAAGCTGATGCTGAGATTTGGACTACAGGTGTTTCTGAACTTCGTGCCGCACTTGGCATTCCTGAAGGTGGACTTATGAGAGTTCTACGCAACATTTATGGATCAACAACTGCACCTCGAGGTTTGTGGCTTGACTTGCACAAGACCCTCGTCTCCCTTGGTGCAACGCCAATTCTTGGCGAACGATGTCTATGGGCCTGGTTTTCAAAGACGGAGTTGGAAGCCACAGGTCGTTTTCCTCGTTTGCTTGGTGTGATGGGTGGCCACGTGGATGACTTCCACTGCTGTGGCAATTTCAAATCACCTGAATGGCAGAAGATCTACAACGAGATACTTGCTGCGTACAAGTGGGGAACTGCGAAGCGTGGCAACTACAGACACGCTGGAACAGACCTCAAGACTGTTCCCTGCAAGAACTCCAACCAGTTCAAGCTCATGGTGGACCAGGATGCCTATGTGGAATCTGTGGCTGACGTAGCCATTCCTGCAGGACGCCTTTACCAAAATGGACCACTTCAAAAACAAGAAGTAGCTGCCTGCCGCACTGCTCTTGGCGCTCTCCAGTGGTTGGCAATACAAACACAACCACAACTATGTGCCAGATGCAACCTGCTTTTGACCGAGGTGGTTACCAATGGCACTTTGGAAACAGCTCGAGAGATCCAACAGATGATCACTGAAGTTCGAGCAGAACCTTTCTGCCTCGAGTTTCGAAACTTCCTGGGGCCAAGCAATGGAATGATGTTGTTTTCATTTCGATGGGTGACCAATCTCACTCCAATCGACCTCAAGGAGATTCAACTGGTGGTATGGTAACTTTGGCTGCTGGCCCTGAAGCTGTTTCTGGAAAGGTCGTGCCTATGACCTTGATTTCATGGAGGACATGGAAGCTGAAACGAAAAGCTATCGGCAGCAATGATGCCGAAGTCCAAAGCATCTTGGAAGCTGAGGACCAAAACTTCAGAGTGAGAATGCTCTGGAGCGAACTTCATGGAGCTGGTTTTCAACGCCCTGATCGGCGACCTGACTTGGTTGAGATGGCCGAGAACCAAGCTGCGCTCGTCACTGGAATTTTGTGCACAGATTCCAGAGGAGGCTATGATGCAGTGGAGGTGAATGAATCACCGTTGTTGGGGCTCTCCAACATGAGGGCCGCTCTACAGGCTTTCCAGTTGAGGGACAACCTGAAGAGAGTTGGATGCGAGCTGCGATGGCTAGCATCAGACTATGACCTTGCTGATGCCTTCACCAAGAAGCATGGTGAAAGCCGTTTGTCCTTGCTGAAGTATATGAAAAATCGCTGCTGGAGCATTGCCTTCGACCCAAACTTTGTTGCTGCGAAGCGGAACAAAAAGATTGGAAAGACAGCGATTCAGAAGATTGATGATGCCTTAGGTGACACTTCGCCACCGCTGGCAGTTCATGGAGCATACGAAGATTTCTCAGAACATGCACTTGCAATCATTGCTCATGAATTTCATCTTCACGATCTTCAGCATGAGCTCGCAATCAATGATGACTCACATGCTCTTCATGCAATCCATGCTGGCTCACGAGATCAACATGCTGAGATGTTTTTAGGGTCTGTTTTGCCTTTTCTGAGCAGTACAGAGGTGATTCATGACCTGAACTTCTTTTGTGCTGGTGCAGCTGAACCAGAGACTGTCCAGCCCGTGCCTGTCAGGTCATTTCACCACCGCTTGTCACGACCGTGACTTGGCTCAGGAAAGGGCCCTTTTTTTTCTTGCGCCAGCCATGCCGGCTGCGACCGGATCTTTGTGATCCTGCTGCTGTGGAAAACCGGTGCGCTGAGCACCTCATTTGCAATTGGGTTCTAACTATATCATTTCCATCACCTACGGCGACTTAGCTGCATTTGGTGTGGGTTTGCCCAATATAGCTCCCTGTGCTGCCGCTACAGAATCCCAACTTAATCCCAACATCCAAAATCTCAATTGTGTCATTTTCTTAGAAAGAATTGTTTCGGAGCCCCCCAATCGTTTCAGGATGTTTCAGGCCACGGAATGGCTCCTCCCAGCCATCAGCATCCTTCACTGGACCTTCATCCACCTTTTCCGTCTCCTCTGCAGCTTCCCCTTGGCCTCCCAATGATCTCATGTGCAGGAAAAGGTGTGGAACATGGAGGTCCAAATCTACAGCCTGCATCAGCATGTTATGATTTTGTGGGAAACAACCTGCATCACAAGCAGTGAATCTCTCCCCAATGAATCACCATGGGGAAAAACAAATACAGCTCGTCAAATGGCCATCTGTTACCATGTATTCATATTATTATAAATCTACCATCATAAATGGGAATATAAAAGGGGATGGATAAACATCATCACCCCAAAAAATAGATGGTTTACAATGGTTTAGCATTAAATCATCATTACCTGCATATGCCTTCGGTGATGCAATCACATCAATCACGGTGTTTGATAGTTAGATCCTCATTTTTGTGGGTTGAATCACCTTGAAAACTCCCTATAACTTGGCAAAACCCTAAATTCCCATGAATATCCCATTAAAATCCACATGGTTCATGGTTACCCTCTGGTAAACTAACATAGCTATTGAAAATGACCATTTATAGTGAGTTTTCCCGTTAAAAATGGTTATTTTCCATAGTTATGTTAGTTTACCAGAGGGTAATCATCTCCACCATACCCCTGCTGCGCCTGCTATGCCATCTTCGGAAGCCATGGCCACAGGGAGTTGGCTGACAAAGTGGCGAGTTTCACCAGGAACAATGGGGATTTAATGAGATTTAATAGGGATTTGATGGGATTTGATGGGATTTAATGGGATTTGATGGGATTTAATTGGATTTAATGGGGATTTGATGGGATTTCCCCATTGGATCCCATTCCTGGTGATGTGTGTTGCACAAATGTTAGGAGTTTGGCTAGTCCAGCTAGGCTATCGCCCAACTCTGCTCAGACCCCTATTTCCAGTGGATGCTGTTCTTCCAAAGCCATGGATAGTTGCAAGAGGGCTTTCATGTCAGCTCCTAGCAGGTTGCATGGACAGCTTTCAAATTGCTTGATCCAGATGCTGCCATGACGTTCACTTTTCAAGGGATTAACCACCATGTTGCCAGCATTTCAAACGGTGGGAAACTAAAGGGACCCCTTTCACTGTATATGATCATCACTCAAAGTTGCAGAATCAACATTGTGATATCCATAAAACCTCAAATGCCTTGCTGGGTCATATCCCCTCTTTCTTTCGATGAGTCAAAAGCCGGAAAACCAGGATGGGTTCCTTTCGATTGTCTACCACCCAACATCTACCCCTGGTTATGTTGAGATGTGTCTTACACTTTTAGTAAGTGGATAATAAGCCCTAGACGTTTGGGAACATCATATTATACATATGTATATATATATACATACAATGAGTGTGTAATTGTGTGTATATAAAATATACAATATAGTTGGTGAACTAACGATGATTGCTGACAGACGGTCTAACTGGGCTGAATCTTGCTGCAAAAAAAAGACACTAGCGATGATGATCACCATTCATCATTAATCACCATAGATTGCAATTTTTGACACCTAAAGCCTACCATATCCCACGATTGATGGGCTGCAGCCCCCATCCTCCGTATATTCTAAGAGCTGCCGAACCATGTGTGGCCAATCCTGACGAGCGCCCAAGCCGGGCACTGGTGATGGAGATATGAACAGCACCAGCCGGGCATCAAGAGAAATGAGGATGTGACATGATGTGACCATCAAACATGGGGATTTAATCATCAAACGCGAGGATTAGACCATAAAAAATGTGAGATTATAAGATGCAGCAAACCAACACACAAAAGGTTTGCACAAACCAATCGGACATGAATAGATTTCACCAGCAGAAACGAGGATGTAAACTTTCAGAAATTGAGATTCCAAGGTACACAAACATGGGAAATATAAAGTATGCAACCAACAAGTAATAGGAAGGCCAACGCCACAAATATGCTGATTTAATCATTTTAATCTATCAACAAATGCCAGACATAGTATTTGCAACCTATGAACAGATAATAGCATATAATGATTTGATGGGCCATTTCTGCCTGAAACCATGGTTGTTTCACGATAATTTGATCGGCACATTGGCCGGTCCCCAGTGACCAATGGATACCAATGGTCTATAGGTATTTGGGCATGTGAAATGCCAACCTTTCTCATACTAATAGGTACTGAAACTCAAAAATATGTTCAGGTGTGTCTAAACATAGAGATTTCAGGATACAACAATTATAAAAGTTACGCTCCAATGTTCACATAGATACTTAGATACCATGAATATAGATCATTTTCCAGCATTTTCCTTGGGTGACCATTGCTTTTCCATTAGGGCCACGACCCACTCACTGACGTAGCCCGTCCACTCAGCACCTCAGAACAGACTAAGTCAGGATGGAGTTGTCAAATAATACAGCATGAATGTGTCAGCAAGCTTGGTACAATTAAAGTTTAAATATATCAGCAAACTGTCAGAGTAATTAATTATGTCAAATGTCTTGCCAACAAACGTGTTACACTTTAAATTCAGAAAGAAAGAAATACGTTAGCAAGTCAGAGAGGTGCGATGTCAGAATTTTGACCGAAGACAGGTCACCGAAACTGTCAGAGTATATTCAGAAAATATGTCATATGCTGCAAGATATGTCAGCATAGTTTGTCAGGATGCTTGTGACGTGGTGGGGGTTCACACGAAGTCGAGTAATGCCAACACCGGATTAATAACCCCCCCCAGAAGGTCAGAACTCTACCTTTTGGAGTCCCCCTTAAGCCCCCCTTAATACTAAGCATCTTCTGAACCATAAAGCTTTGGATATGGCTTACGTCAATTAGATCTTCATAGAATTCCATTGGAATGAATAGACAAACCCAAAGAAAAAAACATTAGGGACATGGTGGTTGATTAATCAGGGGCAAACCCTGATTATTATTAATGGGGGACATGGGCTCATGGGGGGTACCCTTTGGGAGCTATCCAAACTGCTGATTTTTATAAAGAATTTATTTAGAAATCGATCATTTGGGGAATAGTTGTTTTTTCAAATTTTCAATGATCAACAGTGAAGGGTTCAAATTATATGAAAGTTGAAACCGCATGAACACCAGAACCCATCACTGTTGATCATTGAAAATTTGAAAAAACAACTATTCCCCAAATGATCGATTTCTAAATAAATTCTTTATAAAAATCAGCAGTTTGGATAGCTCCCAAAGGGTACCCCCCATGAGCCCATGTCCCCCATTAATAATAATCAGGGTTTGCCCCTGATTAATCAACCACCATGTCCCTAATGTTTTTTTCTTTGGGTTTGCCTATTCATTCCAATGGAATTCTATGAAGATCTAATTGACGTAAGCCATATCCAAAGCTTTATGGTTCAGAAGATGCTTATTATTAAGGGGGGCTTAAGGGGGGCTCCACAAGGTAGAGTTCTGACCTTCTGGGGGGGGTTATTCATCCGGTGTTGGCATTAACTTGCAAGCATTGGACAATATAAGCAACAACAAAGAGGATATCCACTCAAAATTGAGAAGCAGCCAAGATACATGGGGGAGTTATACCAAGAATGGAGTTCCAAGCAATAAACATTGAATAAATCACCGACAAAAAAAGGTCTTTAGCATTCTTTAGCATTCTCTAACTAGTTAACTAGTGCATCAACAGTGATAGGAGCCACAAACAGTGGAGGATACAGCCAGAAAGACATGGCCATAAGATGCCATAAACATCCATAAGCCAAATCTCAGGTTGTAACCTCTGGTAAACTAACATAGCTATTGAAAATGGCCATTTATAGTGGATTTTCATGGATTTTCCCATTGAAAATGGTGATTTTCCATAGCTATGTTAGTTTACCAGAGGGTAACCTCTAACCATCCCAGAAAACCATCCAACACACCGCCCCTTGGCTGCTGACCCCAGGATTCCAAGGCATCTCTGAGGCTTTCAACCTTGGCGCCAACCGAATCCTCCAGTTGTATATGGAATATCCCCACTCATGGATTATATGGGGTTATATGGGTTATTATATGGTTAATGATGGTTAACAATGGTTAATGATGGTTAATCATAATCTGGTTAGGTGGTTGGAACCCTACCCCTCTGAAAAATGATGGAGTTCGTCAGTTGGGATGATGACATTCCCAATATATGGAAAAATAAAAAATGTTCCAAACCACCAATCATATATATATATATATGGATTTCAACCACTGAGTGGGATGCACATCCAAGTACTAAGCCGGTATGGGACTATGAGTCCTGATGTTCCTAGTGAAATGATTGAAATGGCAAGTTTTTACAACCCAAAATAACTTTTTCAGTCATGTTCTAATCCATTCTCCCATTGTGTTTCAGCCATGCTCCCTGGTTGGAGAGGGAATTTCTTCCAGAAGGAGGTCACAATACCAATTCCCAGCCCAAAACTGGTTATGATATACCTCCGATGGCTTCAAGCAAGCCTCAGATGTTGAAAAAACAATCATCAACCATGAATTTCCAGCTTCCCACGATCTCCACCATGAACATCAACCATTCAACCAACTTCAATGGGCCTTTAAAAATCAGGCCGCAACGCATGCCCAGCCCAAACGGGATCCCCTGCTCCCACATTGGCCAGGCCATCAGCCTACAGCAAGGTACCATCATTTTCACCTACACCATATTTCATGTACCCTATGGTAATGACTAACATAGCTATTGAACATGGCGATTTATAGTGAGTTTTCCCACTCAAAAATGGTGATTTTCCATAGCTATGTTAAATTACCAGAGGGTACATGATGGGTACCTTGCTGACATTGATCATGCTGTGAAAACAGCTTGACATTTGATGGATTTGATGGATTTGATGGTACAGCACGCAACTAGGCGTGCGACCAGAAGCTTTCGAGCCTCTCTGACCTGATTTTGGGCTCCAGCGACACTTCGGGGGATCATCAATGATCATCATTCCAAACAGGGGGACAGATTTCTTTGAAACATGTTGAAACCATCCGGTCCGTGACTTTCACTTCTCAGTCCTACATATAATACATACGTATGTATACATATGTATACATATGTATCTATTGATAGATTCAAGAGAACACTTCAGTTTGTTCTTTTTTTTAAGTGATATATTGTGTTGAATAGAGATGAACACCATCCTCATGGGACCGAAAACATCGGCTGTCAGTCACACGGGGTTCGCTACTGCCGCAGCCGTAAGCAAGGTGGGCGGTGAGAAGTGCTGGGTCTTGACTCAGGCTTTGTCAGAATTACTGCGCAGGAGGTAGCTCGCCACTGAGATGTGATATTGTGTATGTATTTATATATATATATGTTGCGAAACTCAGCATCCTTAGCTCCTCCAATATATCTTTGAATATGAAGAAGCTTCTGGCACGACTCGGCCATGGCTATTTATATTTTGTTTGGGGACGTGCATTCCAGTTATGTGGTTCATGAGCGCTTGCAAGTTTCAAGCTTGTCGTATCAGAAATCACCTGATACAAACAAATAGATAGACAAATAGACAGATTGATATATATATATATATATGTATGTATAATATAGGGATGATAGAGATAGATGGAAATAGATAGAACATGATAGAGATTGATATTTCTAGGGGTTGGTAACCAGTAACCGCTTTATGTGGACATGTCAACTACCCATCATGTTGCTGGTTATATGATACTTCTGATGGACGAGTTCAGACAAAATGGTGTGGCACAAAGTATAGAGTGCCCAAACAAACTCAGAATTGGGTCATTCTTAGATATTAAACCCATGATTGCTGCAGGTTCCCTATTGGACCCATATCCAACGGATTTCTCTATCCCTCGCACCTGATCCTTTTGAGTCTTGGCAGGCGCTTTGGCCTTGTCGGGGCATGGTGTGTCTCAAGATGGGGCCACACCCTCCTGCATTTTGTGAATAGGGAACATGGTGATAAACTAGTGGATTTAGATGGATTTAGGAGCACCGTATTTTCAGACAAACCCATGTACTGTATATGGTTTTTGTTCACGGAAAATCCCACAAAAATGAATGATGTAGGGGTACCCCCATGACTTAGGAAATCTCCATATTCCCCCAGAAACATCCATAACACCTTTAGCTATTGGACTTATAAACCAACTTAGCTATCTAGAAAACACAACTTGTAGGTTTCCAAATGCACGCAGTTTGAGACGTCAGCATTTTTTTACAACAACCTCTAGTAATCTAACGCGACAATTTGTAAATGGAGAAATCTCCATTGCATTCCATTGCCATGATTAGCAGAGGGAACATAGTAAACAATTATGTCGTCTCGAAAATATTGGTATACCATTAAAAATCATTTGCCTACAATATTGGCTGTGAAAAATGTGGGTGACCCCATCTTTTCACATCAACCAACCAGTGAGAAAGAATGAGAACAGGATATCAATGTCAAAATCAAAGTTTTGATAAAATTTAGTGGGGTATATCCCATTAATATCATGAAAAATATCCATTCATATATATATATACATACATACACATATATGGTATGTATGGGTAATTATTTATGTATATATATATATTATATATATATGTGAGCTACCTCGTTTTTGCAGGTTTTGAGCTATATTCCATTCCAATACATATCCCTTACATAGACCTTTTTGGTGGTAGTCCATGTGTATACATATCCGTGTTTAATGGTGAAAAACTCCGGTTTCATAGCTCCAAAACAAATCATGAACCCCTCTGATGGCCAAAAGATTGTGACCTTCGGGGCTGCGTAGCGGCGCATGAAGGCCTCGGACCAGCATGGCCATGCTGGGATCTCACCGTCAAAAATGCTTGGGAAATGGTGAAATGGTTGGGAAATGGTTGGATTTAGCCGCTTTGGCCTCTGGTAAACTAACATCTAAACATGGAAAAATCACCAAACATGGAAAAATCACCAAACATGGAGGAATCACAAGCAAACATCATGGCTTTAAACAGCGAACAAACCTTGATGAACATCGATGTAAACATGGGATTGAACTTTGTGGGATTTTTCAGCATGAAACCCTTGGGGGCCTAAGCCATGAATCAGTTGGAAAATGGAAGTGTAAACTAAGAATAATCTAATATGATGGGAATAGATGTAATTATATGATCTAGAATGGAATGAGAACGGAAAATGATGATCAAGCAGTGGATGTGGCAGAATCTGACCAATCAGTTTTTTGCTGGGCAATCATGATGCTTCATTTTGACCCCATCGCAGTTCTACACAGTCCTGCAGGTTCATTTTAAGGAAGGCTTATTGAACCTTTATCATTTGATATCATTTGTGTCAATTCCTGGCCAAAGAAACAGATGTGTCTGAAAATAAGGATCTCCAAATCAGGGATGAATTGGAACATGGGCTATGTGATGATAGTATATGAGAGTGCTTATGGGTACAGCATTTTTGGACAAAGCGAAGATCAATCTGCCCAATCCTGGAAATGGGTAGAGTATGAGTATGCTAGGGATATCTATCTCAAACATCTAGGGGTGAACAATTAACACCTGATTTTTTTTACTGTAATACTTTGAGGATGCAAGGATTCAGGAAGCAAGTTATTTTTGGGGCGTTGCAGTGACTCGAGTGCTTTAACAAAATGAGGTAGTGAACCAGTGCCTCCGCATCTCCGAGTTAAGCCCCAAAAAGAAGGCTTCCAGCCGGCAGCAACGCCCCACATTTTCCAGGCAAACTGCACTGACCTGCTTAGCTCTGCCAGAACGAGCGCAGCTGCGCACAAACGAACACTTTGGTTCGCTGCCTGAAACTGGATGATCTGCATCTGTGCTGGGAGTCTTCGCTAGAATCATCTTCGGAGATCTTGTGATCGGACTCAGGAAACTGCCAAAACTATGTCTGGTTGGTGGTTTGAACCTACCCCTCTGAAAAATATGCTCGTTAGTTGGGGTTATGACATTCCCAATATATGGAAAAAACAGTTCCAAACCACCAGCCAGATATATGTCTTACCATCTCTCTGGTTAGGGCTCACTTTGGATCTGCAGGATGATCATCCGATCAGGGCTATGGCCCAAAACAATGCCATGACGGCATAACCAACGCATCAAAGAACCTACAATATGATGAACAAAACATATGAGAAAATGGTGATGCTTAATATCAAAGAAAATCGTGGTTTGGGGTCAATCGTTTTGAGCCATTAGCCACTTCTGTGCCTTCTGCACAGTGAATTTAGACGAACCAAGCGTCTCATGAAGATTTTGAGGGTGACAGCTTCAGCGCAACCCTGCGGCAAGTCACTCATGGCACCTGGCCGTTTTGGATGAAAATTAGTTCAAGAATCTTCAAATCTTCAAAAGCATATGGGCCTCATATGAAGCAAAACAATGGATTTGGAACAGCCAAAACTGCCGAAATCTTTGTGGTTTGGATAATATCAATGGCAATTTCATGAATCATCATGAATCATCATGAATCTAAATTATAATATATATATATATTCATATTATATATATAGGGTTTATGCAAGGGAATATCCCAACCAAATATGGCTTGACATGGTACAATGCCTCCATCTTAGGATCCTGAAATTCCCACAACCCCATCATAGCTCACCTCTACACCGCTCCAGTTTCCCTGTGCCTCACGTGCTTCACTGCTTCAAATGGTGCCTGAAACCAGGGTTTTTTCCAGGATCCAGGGGTCCAGCGAGCTCCGTAAAGTATCAACCCCAAACCCATCGATGCTTTCAGGGGAACTCAGGACACCCCGCGAATCCCACGGCGAAAAAACATGTGGGAAACGACACCAGAAAAACAGGTGGGTCTCATTTTCCTGCGTGGTTCGGGTTAGCACATGTAAGCAGGACACCAAGCATATCCACCATTTACTTACCACTTCCAGCACTACTGTAAATCCCATGAAAATCCCACTCAAATCCGCTTGAATCGCTATGGTTGATGCTTCAAATCACCGTTGAATCCCAATAAATTCCCATCACATCCCATTAAATACCATTAAATATCATTAAATCATGATTTTCCAACCATGTTCCAACCATTTTTGAGCCCACGTAACCAACCAGGGATACCAAAAAAAAAAACAACTCCCCAGCCTTGGACAGGCGCTGCCAGCAACTTGTTTCCTCCAGCTTGTACATGGCATATGCAAAGACACTGTGCATTGGATTGGTTTAAGGGAAAATCTTAACCGGAAACCATGGTTTTTACCATGAAATATAGGGTTTTCCTGTAAATTTTCCCATCATCCAATTCTATGAATATATATATATATATGGGCAAATTATATAATAATTCACTAACCTGAAATAAGACCATATTGAGATAATTTCCCCTTTATCCAATCATTATTCCAGTGAGGTCGCAGTGAGGTCGTTATAATTTATATATATATATATATATATGATCAAATACACCTGTGATTGAATATATGTATATATATATGTAATCGAAGGAAGTTTAGAAGTGAAACTTCCGACAATATGGACAGTTGAAAAGCAGAGGTGAGAAGAGTCAGAAGAGACAAGATCAGCAGAAAGAAGATGCAGATGCGCGAAAAGGTAGGAAAGTCGCGAAACACTGTGTTTTTCCAATGATTTGTGGCTCCGGTGGGTCGAAAAGTAGGCTCGCTAAAGCGGCGGGTGCGGAGCCAGCTGGCCAGATGAGAGATGAAAAGTTGCACGCCGTTGTGGCGCGAAGCACATTTCCAAGTCAAAATGTACAAAACACGCCATTCTCGGACCACTTTTGGAAGTTGAGATGTCGAAAAAGTGCACGCCGTTGTGGCGCGAAGCACATTTCCAAGTCAAAATGTAAAAACACACCATTCTCGGACCACTTTTGGAAGTTCAGATGTCGAAAAAGTGCACGCCGTTGTGGCGCGAAGCACATTTCCAAGTCAAAAGTGTTAAAAACTGACGGTCTCGGACCACTTTTGGAGGTTGAGATGTCGAAAAAGTGTCGAAAAAGTGCACGCCGTTGTGGCGCGAAGCACATTTCCAAGTCAAAAGTGTTAAAAACTGACGGTCTCGGACCACTTTTGGAGGTTCAGATGTCGAAAACGTGTCGAAAAAGTGCACGCCGTTGTGGCGCGAAGCACATTTCGAAGTCAAAAGTGTAAAAAACTGAGGGTTTTGAGCCTTTTTTGACATGAAGATGTCGAAAAAGTAAACACCGGTTAACTCAACTAACTTGACTAACTTAACTAACTTCACTAACTTAACTACCCTAGCTTCGACGACAACAGCAACAACAACAACAACACCAACCACAACAACTACAACTACAACAACTACAACTACAACTACAACAACTACACAACAACTACAACTACAACTAGAACTACAACTACAACAACTACAACTACAACAACAGCAACAACAACAACAGCAACAACAACAACAACAACTACAACTACAACTACACAACAACTACAACTAGAACTACAACTACAACAACTACAGCTACAACAACAACAGCAACAACTACTACTACTACTACTGCTACTACTACTACTACAACAACAACAACTACAAATACTACAACAACAGCAACAACAACTACTACAACTACAACAACAACTACTACTACTACTACAACTACAGTACACAACAACTACAACCACCTAACAACTACAGCTACAACAACAACAACTACAACTACAACTACAACTACAACAACAACTACTACTACAACTACAACTACAACTACAACTACAACTACAACTACTACAACAACTACTACTACAACTACAACAACTACAACTACAACTACAAAACAACTAGTTACAACTATATGACTGCAACTGCACTACACTAATTACATTACACCACAACTACAACTCCACTACGCTACAACTACAACTACACTTGCAGTACATCACACTACATCCAGCAGTTGTGGGTGAGGTGACCACTGCAACCATTGCAACCATTCCAGCAAACACAACTCCAACCACCTTTCGGTCCATCAGTGGATTCGCTCTGCCATCCCTGATTCACAACAACCAATCTCTCCTATAGGTTTCCTATTTTTGAAACTTCCGCCACCGCCTTGTGCGGTACTACTGGTATATATATATATATACACATGTGTGTGAAAATCGGTGTGTGTGTGTAAACATTGCATAATATGTATATATATACATATACAATATGTGTATATATATATATAATGTAGATATACATATATATATATAATTAAATAATGTATCATACGTATATATATATATATACACATAGCATTTGCAACAATCGCGGATTCTAAATCACACAGTCAGTAGGATCTCTACCTTCCCGACGTTGAAACAACTCAGGACTTCAAAGTTTAAAGTTTAAAGCATAACGGATCTATATGTAGGGGATACCCCAACATTTGCCCTTTGATAAGACATATTACAACAAACCATAGGGTTGCAATAGCAATTTCTGATTTTCGACTTATCAAAATCAGGATTGTTCTGAGGTGCCTTTCATTGCAAAGTAAAACCTCGTAGCCTGTAACATGACATCTTGTTGCAGTTGAAATCAATAGGTTCCAAAAACCCGCAGTCAAGGCCTGGGATTTCTCAATTTTCGCAACATAGACTCGACATGTTTACCATGGTTTCTGGAATTTTCTGGAGACTTCGGCTACGTCCCAATTCCCAGTTGTTTCCTCTTGAAGGCTTCGGAGAAATCGTTGGAGACAATAGTCTGGGACCTCAACCCCCAGCGTTGATTTGACGGAAGAATCGTGTAAAAGTATGGGTGCCGACATTAGGTCCGGTCAATTTTTGGGTAAATGTAAAGATGTAATATAGATATATATATATATAGATTATATAGGTGTGAAATACATGGAGCATATGCAATCCCGCAGGATCCATTGCACAATATCAACGACTTCTCCGTCCATTATGGTCCAACTATGCCCAAAGTGGCATGCTTTCCGATCAGCCAATTTTGGTGAAACTGAAACTTGAAACTTGTGGAAATATGACCAGAACCGTATAATGTAGTGGATTGTACTGGAAACTGTTTCAAGACAAAAGGATGACACTACAGAAATCACTGCAGAAATCACCATGGGGATTAGCCGCTTAGCCCAGTCACGGAGCTGAGATCACATGGCTTGATTCAGGAGTTTTCAGCTAAGTTGCAAGACACTCAAATGGGCATGGGTCAAAATCCATGTATCTTGGTGAACACCAGCCCATAGCTCGTAAATCGATGCGGTAGATGGATGTTCATCCCCAGAAATTGCATTGGGGTTTGATGTATTTGGCTGTACATGTTCCCCTCAAGTAAGTCTAGGAACCTACAATCAATGCCCATATGAAATCATAGAAGCCCTCTTTGCTACGGTTGACCAAAGCCTGGACAACTAGTCATTTCGTTATGGGTCAAACATTGAAACGTTTTGGAACCAGACATATCCAAACATCTTCATAGTTTTAGCCAATTTTAGACTTGACGTGTCCAGTTATTTAGTTATTTACAAACCATACAATTTCTTGGGTACTCCATTTAGAACCATAATTACCCATCTGTTCGGACATTTGACCTACACCCGTGGCAATGCTTTGATCGCAAACAACGTGGTTGCTTCTTATCTTCATCCACTAGTGTAGCCGCACATCATCCGCTATAAAGTGCATCAACGACCCCAATTGTACCATATTGTTTCCCCAAATTGGATTACCACCCGTTGGCTAATAACCCTAAAAAACTGGTTGTACCCACAAATGCGTTTACCACATTAACTGAAAATATAATCACATCCAGTACAGTATTTCTATGAACGCCAATAATCATATACTCAGCCGTCACAAACTCATATATACATATCAATACATATCATATATTATAATATCATATAATCAACATGAGCTTATGTGGTGGTTTGGGGGGTATGGGAAATGAATGTTTTGTTCCATCAATTTTTGAAGTAACATGGCGTAGGTGGCCTTGAAAAATTGGGTTCCTGATTGATTTTTGAAAATGAGGAAACATGTGGTGCAGTTTTGATGCAGCTTTGATGGAGGTTTGAGGGAGTTTTCTGGTAAAAAAAACCATCAAACCTCCACGACAGCGCCGCGAAGAATTGGGTTCCTGATGAGTTTCCCGCAGGTTTCCTGTAAGTTTCCTACAGGTTGCTGACAGAAAGAAACATGTCAGAAAGCTGCAAGAAACCTGCGGAAAAGCTGCATGAAAACGACATCACTAAAAAATGCTGTCCTGTTTTTTGTTTCTTCGGAGTGATAGGGGTGAGGAGATAGCATTGCGCAGGCGCATCCTAGCTGGGATGGGGTCAAGAGCGGGGAGATGTGATGTGTGATAGAGTTTTCTTCGCGTTTTTGATGCCAAAAAATAGCAAAGCAAACATGAAGAATGAAGCCTCCATCAAACCTAGATCAAAGAAATCAGCTTTGGATGTACCAAAGCACCAAACAAAATGATTAAATGCCCGAGCAAACATGAAAGAAACATCATAAGTTTCGAACTATCTATATCTATATATATATATATTAATATATAATCATGATTTCCCAGACCCGCCAAACCACCAACCCAAACCACCACATAAGCCCAACCTGATATAATGTGGGTAAAACAATAATAAACCCCCAGTCATCACCATTTTTTAAGGTGGGACAAGTGATTACCATTCCCGGTCATGGGTGGTTTATGGCATTGTTTTACCCACATGAATCTCACCAGATAATGATATATTGTTTACCACATTGTTTTATATACATATAAGATCAATTATATAATATCATATAATCTCAGATAATGAGATCAAGTTGATCATCTTACTGGTGCTTAGCGGGGAATGAGGGAACAATCCATAATCACTAGTAATAATCATCCCATTCCCCCAGCAACCCATCCATTCCCAACGTAAAACGCACCAGTAAGTTCTTGGATTTGCTGATGGGAAAGCCCACTGCGCCAAGATGCCAAGGGAACAGCCCCGCAACACCGAAGTGGAGGCCACTCGACACAAGGGGCAGGGCATATTCCGCCGCAGCATTTCGGAGGAACATCTGCGAGCCGCCGTTTTTAAAAAACGGTGAAACCAGGGATTGGTGAAACCGGGGAAACCATGGATTTTAATTACCCTCTGGTAAACTAACATAGCTATGGAAAATCACCATGTTTAATGGGAAAACTCACTATAAATGGCCATTTTCAATAGCTATGTTAAATTACCAGAGGGTAGTCAAAGATCATTACATGATTATGAAACGTATTTTGTGTTCCTGTTCATATCTGGTATAATATGGTATAATTGTAAATAATCTTATAAATAATATGGCCACGCAAATTGAGTGGAACTGCACCGCAAATGATCGTCCAAACATGACATGCATGGAGTTTCTTTTCCCGAATTTGACTTGAAGACGACCTGGATTTATCTGGGATATTGAAATGGAAAATATAATACCATGGCCAACAGTATGATTTGTGTTGGTAAGGATCAAATCATCAACCAAACATCATGGCCAAACCTCAGTAATTTTTAATTATATAGTTCTGAAACATGTCCCTTTCCACTAAGATGATTTAAGATGATTTAAGGGAACATCTTCAGGAAACCATTGGTTTTCCGATTAAAGGTGGACGGGATCAACTGTGAAGTCTTGCCTTCCGTGGAATGGACCCATTTTTTTGGTAGGATAACCATCCAAAACAAGGTCACAACTGATTCCAGGTGGGAAAAGACATCTTAAACACCATCTAATTCTGAGGGATGTGATATGTGTATATATATAAATATATATTTATATTTATATTTATATTTTTATTTTTATTACACGAGCGTTTTTCATGAAAGAAAACCTAGCAATCAAGCCACATTTTAGCCACGCAAACTAAGATTTACCATGAGTCACCCAGAATATCTTTGGCAAACACGTCATTTGTCACCACTGACTGTCACCACCATGTTCAGAGCGGTTTATTGGATGGAAAATGGATGAAAATGGTGTGTTCCAACACCAGACATCAACAAATCAACCAAAGAAAACAAGCTCAAAACAAATCACAACTGTGAAACATTGTGAAACTCTGACATGAAAATCTTCCTTAAACTTATCGATTTCCACATGTTTTCCGCCTTTTTGCCACCGTTTCTCCCAGTGTTTTCCAGAGTTCAACGCCCTTGGCGCCTTGAGCAAAAAATGTGATGGCAATTCAGCCAGAGGTCGAACTCGTTGTTGGTCTCATCCTGACAAATCCAACACCTTGGCCGAGATCAACGAAAATCACTTGATATCTGCTGGAGACGGGTCACAGACACATAAATCGATATATGTATATGAAGGTGCTTAAATAACTATATATATATATACATATACATATTTACATGTCATATGATATATATATACATATCATCTATATATATATATATGACTATATATTTTAACAACAACATAGAATAACATACTATAATATACGTACATATGGTCAATGCTTTCAAGGTGTAGAGATTTTACCAGCCACTCGGCTAGCCGGTGAAAAGGGTGCCAAAAAATGCACGAGGATGATCAGATGTGCGTGTAGTCATCATGACCTCTGAATCTCCTTCCTGGGCAAAATAGACGCAATGCTGACCTGAAATTCACTGTTTCCAGGGCGAAATTAGAGGAAACCTATTTCTTTCCATAAATTACTGTATCGGATTTCCGGAAGCGCAGGTGTGTGGAAAGTGCAAACCAACTTACGAGTAGCATCAACAAAATGTTACGGAACACCCAACCCCACCCCACCCCACCCCATCCCGTCAACACCGTAGCAACATATCGTGTATATAACGAAGCATGAGAACTTCAGCATCAGTACTATGTGCATCATGAAGAGAACGTTACTGCCACCCCACCCAGATGCCATGCCACTTGTTGTCACGGTAGTCGTTGAAGGAGGACTCGACCTATGCCAACGTTGATGGATTCAACTGGTTCATTAAAACGCTCAGTACCGCTTGGCATATGTTTTTTTTTTTAATTTTGTGCTATCATATATATATATATATGTATATAGTATATATATGCATGGGTTTGTCTGATAATTTCTGGGAACATACCAAAATTTGATTATCATCAATATTCACACTAATTCAGCAATTTGGTGGGTATAGATACCCTATTTCGAGACACACTCAGATGTTTTTTATTTGTTGTTTCAAATAACACTAACAAACTCTGGCCAGGAAAGACTGGAAGATGAAGGTATGAATCATTTTTTGTTGGTTCAAACTGTTTATATGGTGTGTATATATATATATATTGTATATATATATATATACATATCATAATATAGTGTAGTGGCATGTTCAACTCTTTACTTGGTGGCTGTATGATCTGCACTTCTCGCCGTCGCCGCAAATTCCGAGGGCCAACTCAGCCAAGACACGCAAGCATCACGGACTTTGTCGAAGGGCCTGCCAGAAACCAGGGATTTCAGCACCAAGACTTGGAGACTTGGGATGTAGCCGGCCTGGTTATGACATTCACAGGGCTAGCCATGGTATAGATGGCCCTAATCGAAATAGATGGTTTACCGTTCTTAAAAATGGTGATTTTCCATATGTTAAATAACCAGATGGTACCAAATTGGGGATTTCCACCCAACTAATCCCAACTAAACATAGAGATTTGATCAAAACAAAAGGCCAATTTCACCACCAATGAGAGACTTTTTTGACCTGAGAATGGTGATGGAGTTCTGAGATATGGTGGTTTGCTAACATGAGGGTAGCCCTAAATCATCCATTTTAGAATAGGATTTTCCATTGGTAAATCATCCAGCGTTCTTGGGGTACCCCTATTTATGGACATCCCCATGGGACCAGGATATTGACCAAACCCCATCAATTCAAAGCATGCAACAAGCATATGATGTGTATATCATATATTGTATATATATATATACATATGTATATACTAGTCTACAGTATCTATCTATCCATCCATGCATCCATCTATCTATCTGGATAATGTATGACAATTCACTGACCTGAAAAACATTGCCATTTGGGATAGTTACCCCCTTTTCGAATCATCACAGTGACGTCGCGAACCGAAGTTGTGATCAAATTTAGAGTATGATTCCTGATTGTTGCTTGATGTTGGTTGTATATCCCACTATACCTCCGTTCTCTCCCCGTTACTGCCCCGTTATTGTTGGTTAATAGTTACCTTCCTTATTTTCATTCATTAGTTAAGTCCCTTTAAATCTCATAGAATTTTCCGAAATTTCATTCCGTGTCCCAAGATTTCTTGATTCATCACTTCTCTGGTTGGTGGTGGTTTGAACCTACCCCTCTGAAACATATGACTTCACCACCAATCACTTCTGCTCCGATGTCTCAAACATCGCCATGGCCGCCATGGCCTGTTGATGAGAATGGCATGACACCTCCGCCCCAGGGCCACCACGTTTCGAATCTGTCCATCCGCCTCCGTTTCGAATCGGACTCCGGCCGAAGACCAACAGATACAGAGCCGGGTTTCCATGAAAGACATGGTGGTTTCATAGGATTCCATCAACTTGATATTCTATGTTATATGTTCCAAAAAATAATGCCAGGTATAATTTCAACCATTCAATGGGGAAACAATCCATGATGTTGGATACATCGTGAACAAACACAGGGGGTCAAGGTCAACAATTTCTTCAGTGTCGGATCCCAAGAAACAGTTGGGTCAAGTTCGAAGGGACACCGAGGCAGCCGATGGCGGTTAAAACAGCTGGTATACCTCAAACTTGCTAGGAACATGATGATAAACCAAAAACCTCCCCTTGTCACAATCCACCTCTGAACTGAAAGGGGGGTAAACCCGGACAAGACCTTTGGATAGGAGAACTACAATAAGGCTGGGTTGGTTGATTTTCCTCTATGGATGCCAGCGGATATAGATGGATATAGAATTATCCAAAGATTCCAAAGGAAGTCATTGAATCATCATGAGTTTCTGACCCTCTTTCAGGCACGTTTGGCAACACGTTTGGCAAGTCATGGAATCTCCACCATTCTCCAAACTGGTGCAGCCACCTGCACAAAGGGCTGAGGCCGAATTTCGCCATTCTCTGTGTCAGTGGTGCTGTCATAGCTCCCTGCAGTGCATGGTGTGTTTGAACCTGGAATGGATGTTAATGGTATCTATGATACATCCATCAAATGGCAATCAACCCATTGAACATATGATATCTAGAATGGTATTGAATGGTATATCCAATTTTCAGCAAAGGTCAAGGTCCTGAATTATCCTATATAAATTTTAAATGATGCCTTCCACACTTCCACTGAGTCAAGGTTCGATGATGATCCATGTGGATGGGGTGGGAGCTTCAGGATATTCTGAGACCACAGTGTTTGAAAGTCAACTGCAGTTGAGATACATATTGAAAAAAAACAGCAAGAGTCAAAATGGTGCCTCATACTTAGCTAAGTAGATATAGAACTAGGCTAACAGCGGCTAACATTTGGGTTTTGACAGAAATACCTATAGTTCATGGGAGTTATAACCCAACTTATAACTGGGGAGAACCAGCTTTTTCGGGAGAAAATCCATGCCAGCCTCAAATGCGAGAGGGCAAACAGCAAATATGTTTGTTGGCTAGTAATCCATGGATTCCATGGATCCACAAGAATCAACAAACGATTTGTTGCACCACCCGATTTCAAGGAAACGAACACATACATACTGCGCGCAATCGCGGAACACAGGAGATCACAGGAGCGCCTGCCAAAAAACTGAAGACTTGTTGCCTGGGCGCAAATGGTTCAAGGATTTCAGCAACAAGGAAGGGATTCAACGAAGAAATATGACGTGATAGCCTGTGATAACCCAAAGATATTGGGATGGGGTATGGGCATGAGTCAATCTGGATCGCCATCCCATATGGATGCAAAATTAGACGCTCTTTGAAACTAGCCTGTTTAGTAAACAATCACTGTTGGCTTTGGTCAAAATCAATTGATCCCCAAATATTCCGAGTTTGGATTGATGAACATTCATGATTATTCCAAAAATTGGATAGAATTGGATTATGTAATGATATATAATGATTGTTCCCACATAGACATGATACTTTTGTGAAAAAATCCGGCCCGGAGCTGTTTTTCACAAGCCGCCTTAGCGAAAAGCCAAGAGACCTCCAATCAAGATCCGCGTGAAGGTCTGCGCCTGTGCTGCCCGTGCTCCGGGGATTTTTCAGGACTTCCCCAAAGAATTACCCGTCATGGTTATTTAAAAGTTTGCGAGCTGGAAAATCATGGAGAATCACCTTTTTGTATAGGTAAATCTAGATAAATCGTCGTGTTTTAGTCATCGAGCTAATTTTTTTTAAATCCTTCACGGTTTCCATAGTAAACTGATAAATAACCATGGATAAACAGATTCCCCAAATTCTAGGGACCCCTTGGCTGATGGGACCCCCATTCCCATACTATTCTCATAAGAAATTCCAATAATTATATAATATAAGATAAAATTGGGACTTTAAACCAACAACCGTGAAACATTGTATGGAGATATGATGAATCTCATGTGCGTTCTATACAAATATATATATATATATATGGTCCCGTCCTCCGTCTCTCCACCCCCCCAATGGGTTGGGTCCCCAGGTAGCACCCCCCCCCCTTCCCTTCTATTTGCAATCTGAGGTCCAGCTTTGTATTTGCTAGGTCTTTGCAGCATTTCTGTCTACCAGCCTCGCATTTACTAGGTACATGCTACCTTTTAGGCAACCTACGTAGCACACACTCCCTCAAAGTACCTACGTGCTACATATAGTCATATATTTATGTGCTATGTATCTACTTCCTATTTACTACCTGTGTACTCTGACAACACTACATGTGTTTAACATATCCCGTACCTACCATACATTCCAATGATGCCATGCATACCATATCCCATTGGGGGGGAGGGGGGTGGCAGGGCCTGGTGCATATACCAACAAAAACGAATGGGTCTGTCCCAAAACTGGTGGATTTTCAAATGATTCAACATGGCAATCTTAATGGGGAAATTGAACATATACCATGATATACAACTAAATTGGGCCTATTTTTGGACAAATCCACTGGCCTTATTGATAGGGGTTAGTAACACTGAAGCCACCAAGATGGGGGCTGAGCCCCCACAGATAAGGAAGTACCAAGGAAATGACACATCTATGTATACAGTAAATATTACAAATATTTTGAACAATATTGACGAATTAAACACGTGAATCTGAGGTTGTATGATACGTCTTAGTCAAACATTTCACCAAAAACAATTGTTTTTTTCCATATTGGTCTCAAAAAAAAAAACATACCTGCAGTCTGCAGATGGAGATCCAATCAACCTGCTTTGAATCCACAATAATCCATGCATAAGTGGGGTCGTTCACAATCCACAAACACATGTATATGTATATATATATATATATTATTTTTACTGATACAGTAATTCTATATGTATACATATGTTTCACGCTCGTTTTGGGGAACGCTAAGTGTCTAAATTGGTTCCCAATAATATTAATAAAGAGCGTGTAACCATACATAAAATCATACATATATGAGAAAATCACATCATTCATGTACGAAAAATGTGAATCATCTGTAAATAACACTTTAATTATATATATATATCATTATATATATCATAATTATATATATCATTATATATATCATTATATATATCATACGTATATCAACGGGCCATGTTCCATCATGTTCAATAATTCTGTTCACCAATGAGGGTGCAAAATTGGTATAGGCTAGGTCCCCCCTGGTGAAATGTACTCAGGTTGTTTGCACCAAAAATTGATGAGTTAATCCAGTATGGTTAACCTAGTATGGTTAAACAAAAAAAACATGAGTTAACCTAGAGTAATGGGTTCTTTTTTGTTTACTCTAGTTTAGTCATGGTTAATCCAGTACTAGCAAGGTTTTGATGAGACATGACTATAATGAGTCCATTGGTTAATGATGAATTCCCATAAGAAAACCGTGATTAACTAGTGATTAATTCTTAGGTATAATGATTATACAATTCCCATATTTTTCCCTTTATAGTTCTCTTTTTCATGATTCCCCATGGTTCCAATAGTACCCATGATTTAGGAAGTATTTGGAGCATGATTTAGTGATGAATTCCCACCAGTTCGTGATGAACATTTCCATGAAAACTTCCCATTCAGACTTCCCAGTCATGAAACCATCAATTTCCCATATAGTTGTCATGGAAATTTCCCATAATTCCCATATAATTCCCATGAATTTGCCATGAACTTCCCATGAACATTTCATAGGTCTCCAACTCCAACTCCGACCTCTCCCAAGTTGCGACCATCTTGCGCACCTCGTCGCCAGGACATGCCAAAGAACTCCACGAAGCAATTGCCGCCCTGGTAGAGCCGCTCAGGCGCCTGGTACAAGGGCGCCAAGATTTTTTGTGGCCAAGGAACGGCAGATACCCTCTGGTTATGACTAACATAGCGAACTGGAAAGATCCACCATGCTATTAATGGGAAAATCCACTATAAGTGGCTGGGCCATTTTCAATAGCTACGTTAAATTACCAGAGGGTAGTATAATATGTAGATATGTAGATATGTCTCAATTTATATATCAGATAGTAAATATCCAGTAGATATCTAGATTTTTTGTACGTATCCCATAGATAGTAAATAAGTGTAGAGATGTCGATATGTCTCAAAATGTGATATACTCAATTATGGGCTATTTGTTCATGGGATATAAATACTATAGTTATATAAGTACCATTAAGTCGATCTAATGGTCAGGAATTAAGTCGATATAAGATATAAGTCAGGTATAATGGCCAAGAGGGCTTAATTCTATGGTCTGACTTTCTATATCACTTAATGGATGGTATAAGTGATATTAATTGTAGATATACCAATGTTATTATTTAGATATACCAGTACTATAATGGATAACCGCTTTACCAATGGTACCATACGGTACTCAAAATGGAAGTTTTTAGTGTGGTATGGGTCAATAGATGGGGAACCCCACCGGAAGATCATCTGGAGGTTTCTTAAGTCATAGGGCTACCCCCCAGTCACTCAGTCATCATCCATTTATAGATGGTTTTTCCATGATAAACCAACCATTTGGGGTACCCCCATTTATGGAAAACCCAATCTAAAAAAACTGGTGAGGGTTGAACAAATTGAGCCATTCCGAAATCAAACATTGTCTTGCGGATAAAAAAAGGGACTGAAATAAGATGAATTAAGATGAATGAGGCATCATTCCAGCCAAAATCATTCTTCACAGCCACCTAGAGAAACCCAACGTCCTACAACATCTTAGAGATCCAATGAGATCCAAAGAATTCAATGAGATCCAATGAGATCAATATTCCATCAACAATTCATCATCTCTACGAATCAAATCACGATGCAGTTATTTCATCAAATTGTCCATCTAAGATATCTTCCATCAATATATTCCATGAAAATTTCCGGAAGGAAAACATATCAACACATTCCGTTTTCTGCAGGTATCAGAATCTTCCATCAAAAAATCAACTCTCTATGTCTATCAAAATGATCCATCTAAATCATCCAACGTATGATCAGAATATGTCTTAATATGTCCCAATATGTCCAAATAGAACTATATAATAAGTGGCTAAGGCTAAAACAAAACCATAGTAAGGTTATATCCCAACAAACAAAATAGCTGAAAAATCCGACTGCCATACAAGGTGGTAACCCCAAGTTTTTAGTTGGTTTAGTCTAGTTGGTTTTACAACCGCCATTAACTAGGTCGTTATATCTACTGATCCCATAGTTATTCAAATTATGTTCACCAACTTAGCTAAGAAACTGGAGCACCAGGAACTATAACACACAACCATAGCATGGTTATATCAAGTTATATCTCAAGTTATAGAGCCGTAAAAAAAAAACATTGCCATAGCTATACTCCTTGATACGGTGAATCTCAGATGCCTGTTAAAAAAAAAAAACAAAAAAACTATGTCAATTGTCTGGTTAGTACATATATTTTACTGTTCATTATTTGCAACAGATTAACAACCAGTAAAATCTGTGAAAGTCATTGCTTTATTGATTGCATAACCTTGACCAACCAGTTGATAGTCAATCTTTCTAAAGTATATCGGTTGACCCAACCCGCAACTGCACAATTGCCCGGTTGCCCGGCACCGTCATGCTGTGGGTACCAAAGGCTCGTCCTAACAAGCCGCCCCAGGCGTTCTCCGGCGCACGCGGGAAGACGAATCTAGGGCCGACGACGCGGCGTTGACCCGTCACTGGGGAAAGAACAACGCGTCATGTTTTATGGATATTTGGGGAATATGGATAGAATATCTGTGGAATATGCGATGTGATCGTTTTTTGGATTTGATGGATGGATGCGGGATTGTTCATGATCATTATGTAACCTATGAGCATTTGTTTGTGATTGTTTCTGGTGATAAATATTATATATATATTCATATATGGGTTATGGGTTATGGGTATGTATATGCGTGTAGAGCAAGTTACCCGGGATTGTATTGATAATTGTATTGTCTGTATATATCATATCTTAGTATGTATTCATCGATTTGATGGGATGTAGTTTGTGTGATTGTGTAGTGTATGTAGTGGGATTCTTCTATTCATTCTATGGTCCTTTGGTTGGGGGTATTGCGCTATCGAAAAATTACTGGGGAACGGATTATGTCTGGAACTCAAATTGTGGATAGAGTATTTTATTGTATCAGAAGTGGCATGGCTTGATTTTCATTGGATAAACCATACCGGTAGGAAACCATGGTGTTTTCATGTGTTCACCAAACATTTGCCAATCAACTTCTTTACCCATATCGAGAACACGTGTAAGCAATGTATTCAAACAAGGCTTCGGCATAGTTTGACCATGTATATAATATCCCATCCTTTCAGCAATTGATGCTGTTGCCAATGTCATGAAATTTTCAGCATGGACTGGTCACCTACTAGTTGACCAAGTCTTGTGGCCCTGCAGTCACTTGCAGTCACCAACGCACCAAGAAACAACATCCATGCGATGGGAAAGCAGCAGGAGCAGCAACAACCTCCAACTGGCTGGGACTGAACCACGCAGGTGTTTTTTCAGCTGGCTGCTGTGACATTTGATGGAATTTAGATCCCGAATTGATCAGAAATGAATAGAATGGGATGATGCAAACGAGGCCTCATTGGACAAGTATCATTGGTTTTGCCACATCAATCTTGATGAAGCCCCAAGCTAATATGAAGTATACAAACCATCTCAACCATTATCAACCCATATTGACCCATATCAACCCGTATTAACCAATATTAACACTATTATATATATACGTATGTACCTCAAGGGGGTCCATGACCATCATGGCACTGAAAAAAAGAACAGATCCGAGTGGCGCAAGGAACAGCCACAGCAGCAGCTTCCCTCGTCGGTGGCTCCCATTGGAATGCAGCCAGTGCAGTCGGTGTAGGGATAGGGTCCACCCCAGTAGAAGAAATCCACACCTGCGACGCGAAGTTTTGGGCCAATGGGCAGCGTGAGCAAAACGCGTATTCTCTTGGTGTTGTTTTAGCGGGTGAACTTTTTTGGTAGCTGGATTCTTAGAGATTCCAGAGTCGCTCTTGGAGAAGTTGAAATGGAACATGAATTGGGAATTTAGATGATGCAACTGAAGCAATTGAAGTCACTGACTTGGTAGGATCTGACTAAGATGCCAAGCCTGTTGTATAGTTTCCCGCTCCGACCCAACGGAATGAACCCAGAATGGCTAGTCATCCACAAAACCATTGTTGCATGGCCATCATAATCTGAGAGAATCATCTCAACTTGTGATGGGTGAAATCATTGGTTCACGGTGAACACACTTAAAACCACAGACTCAACCAAAAGCAATAATTGATGTATGGTCTGTAAATCACCACATACAAGTATATACTATTATCATCTATTATCTATGTGCATGTGTATTAACTAATTGATACATATGTGTTGCCATGTTCATGGAATGCATCATTCAAATCATCCCATAAATCCTTGGCAGAGTCGCCGCCTGGGAGGGAAAAACCTGCGGGATTGCTGCTTGTATCTCTCCATTATATTCTTGGCTAAAAGTTTTGCTATGTAAATCTGTAATTCTGCATTATGATAGTGATTTATATATAGATGCTTTGGGGTTGCTGAAATCCCAGTTTCGTAGTCGAATCCCCATTTTGATTCATTGATAGGTGAAACAAATATGAATTGATAGTAATTTATAGATGCTTTGGGTTGGTGGTTAAACAACACCGTTTCAAATTGTTATACTCACCATGTCTATAGGTTGAAACCGCTGCCAGCAGTTCAGCCCAAAGCCACTGTGTGGAGAAGCAGTGGGCGGCAACAAGCAACCGTCGCAGCCTGGGAACAGTCTGAAAACGACTGAAATATCAGAAATCAATAATAGGGTTTGTAGATAATATCAATAATAGAGTTGAAGATCTACAATCTACCATCTGAATCAGAGATTTCTGACTGGAATTGCAAGATTTCAGTTGGCTTTGAATGGATTTTAATGGATGAGAATCTATGAGATCCCATACCTGGACATCTTCACTCAACTGTGGGTCTTCTTGGGAACATGCTATAGTTATAACCCCCAAAGATGTGGACCCCCAAAACAAACATGATGGAACATCTAGCAATCTAGCAGATCACGTTGACTATTATCACCATTTGACCCATAACATATCATTAAACATTTTTTTGAAATTGAGGATCCATCTTAAAGCCGTCATTGGTGCCGTCTCACAGATTGCAATTGGCCAGTCAACGGGACAGGGACCTTCCGACGAAGATTTTTCAATCACGATCATTGATTCTCACTTTTGAAAACCACATACAGTAAACATATTAGTAGACATGCAGTCACTTCTCTTTGCGTTTTTTTGTACAATCGTCGTGGCCTTGTTTGATTTTTAACGAAGCACTTCCTCCATCAACGTCCCTGGAGATTTTGGAGATTCCATCTTTGCTAAGGAAGATATGGCTACCTGGGGACCCTTTTCTCACCAAAACTCTTGGGATTTGTAGATCTTCAACTCCCATCCATATCTTTTTTGATGTTGACCCATCCGCATCATTTCTGGGTGATATAGAGCCGCTAGAGCAATCCGCTCTAAAAGATAGAACAGTAAAGTTCTATTCATCCTATTGAAATAGGGATCAGTTCCATCTTTTTGGGGGTTACAACCAATCCCCATTTTTGGTGCTACCCCCGTTGCATGGTTATTGAGCCCCCCATCCAGATCCTCATCCGCCTGCTCCGCAGCAGCCGTCGCAGGTGCAATTCGCGCCGTTGCAACAAGCTCCGGAAGACTGGCCCAGGGCAAGAAATGAGATGTTTAGAGACATCAATGGCTCAATATGGGGATTGAACACATCAATATTCATCAAATTTACCAATATAGTATAATATGAGTTTTGATCTTTACATTATCTTTGTGGCACATAGTCATACTGATGCCAAATTGTATTATACATCTACTGGGCACCAAGAAAAGCGCTCCTGGCCTCGCCACAGGCTGCAAAAAGACCAGCAACCATCATGCCAAGAAAGATCAAGATCACCTGGATAAAAAAAAACAGCTGGACCCAAAATATGTGCATACTTGTGTATATCTTGGTGTGCATATATATATATATACATATTACAGATAAACATGTTACATCTTTGTGTATAATAGATATACAAAATAACATCCATAATCATTGAAAATCATATATACGTCTATGGAATTACGGTGATGGAGCAATCAACCTGGAAGTTTTTCAGATGAGTTGATGTTAAAATAATCGAATTTCTGGGAGCAGAACCCCCCTGCAAACCTGGCGAATGGCAAGCCTGCAACAATTGGAGAATATCTGGAATATTTTTATATACGAGTAGTGTATATATATATACAATAGTGATTAGTAATGTGTATATAATATATATATATATATACATATACATGCATGTATATATGATGTAACTATAATACATGGACACAACACTATTATATAGTGATATAATACAGTATATATTAAATGAATATACTGTTGCCACATGATTTTCCACAACCAATGGATATTTTTGTGAACGCCATAAGGTGATGGATATGCCTGGATTTTGTGCGTCGGCACAATGATCCCAAGATATCCCAAATAGTGAAACAACATGAAACAACAAGGCACTCAAATATCCCCAAAATATCCCAAAATATCCCAAAATATCACCAAAATATCTCAAAATATCCCAAAATATCCCAAAATATCCCAAAATATCCCCAAATATCCCAAAATATCCCCAAATATCCCCAAATATCCCAAAATATCCCCAAATATCCCCAAATATCCCCAAATATCCCAAAATATCCCAAAATATCCCAACATATCCCAAAATATCCCAAAATATCCCAAAATATCCCCAAATATCCCCAAATATCCCCAAATATCCCAAAATATCCCCAAATATCCCAAAATATCCCCAAATATCCCAAAATATCCCAAAATATCCCAAAATATCACCAAAATATCTCAAAATATCCCCAAAATATCCCAAAATATCCCAAAATATCCCAAAATATCCCCAAAATATCCCCAAAATATCCCAAAATATCCCAAAATATCCCAAAAATATCCCAAAAATATCTCAAAATATCCCAAAATATCCCAACATATCCCCAAAATATCCCAAAATATCACCAAAATATCCCAAAATATACCAAAAATATCCCAAAAATATCTCAAAATATACCCAAAATATCCCAAAATATCCTCAACATATCCCAAAATATCCCCAAAATATCCCCAAAATATCTCAAAATATCACCAAAATATCCCAAAATATCACCAAAATATCCCCAAAATATCCCAAAATATGCCAAAAATATCCCAAAATATCCCAAAAATATCTCAAAATATCACCAAAATATCCCAAAATATCACCAAAATATCCCAAAATATCACCAAAATATCCCAAAATATCCCAAAAATATCTCAACATATCACCAAAATATCCCAAAATATCACCAAAATATCTCAAAATATCACCAAAATATCCCAAAATATCACCAAAATATCACCAAAATATCCCAAAATATCCCAAAAATATCCCAAAATATCCCAAAAATATCTCAAAATATCCCCAAAATATCCAAAAATATCACCAAAATATCCCCAAAAGATCACCAAAATATCTCAAAATATCCCCAAAATATCCTAAAATATCACCAAAATATCCCAAAATATACCAAAAATATCCCAAAATATCCCAAAAATATCCCAAAATATCCCAAAATATCCCAAAATATCCCAAAATATCCCAAAATATCCCCAAAATATCCCAAAATATCCCAAAAATATCCCAAAAATATCTCAAAATATCCCCAAAATATCCCAAAATATCCTCAAAATATCCCAAAATATCCCCAAAATATCACCAAAATATCCCAAAATATCCCAAAAATATCCCAAAATATCCCAAAAATATCTCAAAATATCCCCAAAATATCCCAAAATATCACCAAAATATCCCCAAAATATCACCAAAATATCCCAAAATATCCCAAAAATATCCCAAAAATATCCCAAAATATCCCAAAATATCACCAAAATATCTCAAAATATCACCAAAATATCCCAAAATATCCCAAAATATCCCAAAAATATCTCAAAATATCCCAAAAATATCCCAAAATATCCCAACATATCACAAAATATCCCAAAATATCACAAAATATCCCAAAATATCACAAAATATCACCAAAATATCCCAAAATATCACCAAAATATCTCAAAATATCACCAAAATATCCCAAAATATCCCAAAATATCCCAACATATCCCAAAATATCCCAACATATCCCAAAATATCCCAACATATCCCAAAATATCCCAAAATATCCCCAAATATCCCAAAATATCCCAAAATATCCCAAAATATCCCAAAATATCCAAAAATATCCCAA